GACAGGAGGTACTCGGTCTGGGGTCTGCCGGCCGCCACGGCGCTGGCCTTGCGGCGCCAGGTAGAGCCAAACGTCGGGCTTCGGGAAGGGCTTGTTGAAAGTGACCCGCCCGATCAACAGTATCTGGCCAAGGTTACCTTCTTCCCTGATAAAAAGCAACGGCGGGGAGGTTCTGTTTAACAATGAAGCGATGGTAAGGAAAGGCGTTCGGATGGAGTATCGAGACGCAAACCAATAATACCCCTTTTAAGAATAAGTTTGCTCTGGAAATAGAACAATTCAAATAGTATTTTATATATATATTTACATATGTGGCACAAATCACTGTTTCCTCATGGGAAGATCCCAACCATGACACACTGTGGACCGTGACGGTGATCCAGCACCTTCAACTCACTGAGCCCAGTCTTAGTGAAGGCGGCTCGGTGAGCGTTGGTGCCTTCGGTGAGCGAAGGGCGCTTTGACCAGTAGTGTGTTCTTACGTAAGGCGTCCTTCCCTTCGGCTCTCACAACGTCGCCCAGGTCCTCCATCCTCTGTTCTTCTCTCTGGTCACTAGTCACAAGGGAAACCTGCTATAAGAATGGGATCCCCGTCTGAGGCGGCCACGCTTCTGGTTCGCCCGACACTTTGCTTCAGGAACAGTTGTGTTTCTCGCCCGATCTTCGAGTGCCCACCGCCAGCACAATGCCAGACACCGCCGTAGAGTTGTTGCGCCTCCGTAGGCTGTCCAGGCCTCTCGTTTAGCGGCCTCCCACCCCCTGTACTGTACTGTCAGTCGCCTACAGAGCTGGAGACATCACGACTGCGGCCACTTGGGCTTCAAAACTCCATTCACCAAGTTTGCGAAACCAATTCAGAGTGATCATCTCATTTCACTATCATGACCTGGCCCGTCGCCATTCTGGACCTCTCAATTTGTTCCATAGTTCCTGCCCAAACGCCAAACACCCAAAGCAAGCGATCATTGAGACCCAGTTCATCCTTCCGAACCCAAGCGCATCGTGGGATCACAAATCGATCTCATCGCACAACACCAGGAAACTCCCTCCATTTCTATCACCAAACAACCGAGAAACGCACTCCGGATTGTGATTCAGTTTTTCAGCGTACGCCGGCGCCCCTCGACAATCGACATGTAAGCCATGGCCTCGTCCACTGCGCCAATGTCAGCAATCTGGCCGCGCGGGGCCAAAACACCACGAACGACATCGCGGAGTCAAGAAGAGAGCACTGACTTTGAGAGTGGACCCTCTCACGACCGGCGAGGTACCACGCCTCGTTGATGCGGTCCTCCTCGGCCTCGTCGCCATGGCAGGGGAAGAATTGCACGTCTGTCGACAGTGGTGCGAGGTCGGGCGTGCGAAGCCTGGGGATGCGGGGGGCCAGGGGCGCTGACGGCTGTTCGGTGTAGGCGGAGACGTCCTCGTGGGTGTCGGTCGGAATCTCGTCGGGGAAGAGGATGAAGTCATCGTATGATGCGTGTTCGTACGATTCGTCCTCCTGACGGCTGGCAAAGTCACTCTTGTTCCTGGATGGTGCGCTACGATCTCCATAATGGTCTCCGAGATGAATGTCCGGGCTGCTCCACGATCCAATTGCAAGGAGAGCACTATGGTCCGCGCTGCGCCTGCTTCTCCGCAACCTGGGCCTGGAGTTTCGGTGATGCGGTAGAGCCTGGTGTCTCGTCTGTGGCGAGGTGTCCATGGCGAATAGCTGCTCGCCGGTCATGTATCCAGGCTCAATGCTGCTCGGGTAGTCCCCTGGGTAGAGTGCCCCATTAAGTCTTGGCCTGGGGAAGTTGGCGAGCGTGGGCAACGGGCTCTTGGAGGAGTCTGCCCAGGCTTGGAGTCGTGAGGGGAGGCGGTCTCTCGCGATGGTGGCATCCGTGAGTGGAATTGGTATCCTGGGCTCACTGGCGATCCGGATCGTGTGAATGGGGTCCATTCTGGATGAGACGCGAAGGCTAGAGACATGAAAGCCATGATTGCGTTGTGAGGAGGACTGACGAGAGATGTCGGGGAGGTAGGCGATCAAACCAGCGTTGGATGACGAAGTCTCCGGGCAAGAATGACGAGATTCGACGAAGTTTCTGAGTTGAGAGGACGAGGGCCTCTAGTCTCTGCTCGAGGAGGTGGTGCAGTGGTGGTGAGTGGCCGGCTGGGTGACTGATGGGGTCTGATGGGCTCCTGCGGTCCGGACGCAATGGGAACTGATGGCCAAAAGAAGTTTTGAGTCCAGGGAGATGATTCTCTGATAAGACTGGAGAAACCAGAGAGGAGGAGGAGAGGTTGTGGGAAGGAGGGTGGTGGGATACTCGAGGGTTTTATGTGTGAGTGTCCGTCCCCGAGTGCTCTCTCTTCCTCCTGGCCAATCAGGGGCCGGGCTTAACTAACCCCCCGTTGCGTGCCAACGACCCCGACACGGCACCCGGACCCGCACTACCTTGATCCTACTCCCGTTGCCGTCTAGGATGACTGGCGTTCCCATTTTCATGCTACCGGGCTCATGGAGCCGGTGCAATGGCTCACAGAGTCAGGGGAAGTCGTCTTGAGGTTGCTGGATGTCGTTGGAGGCTTCTGGGCACCATCGGACGGTGCCGGCTATAGGTCTCGACTCCCATGTCTCCTTTGTCTTCCCTCGTGCCTGGAACATTTCTAGTATCGATTCTTCCATCTTTCAAGGTCTTTTGGAGTGGTTTGAATCATGTTCTGCCTTCTCTTTGCCCATCGTGCCTTTTGGTCTGGGTACTGGCCGGCGTCTTCGTGCTGTAAAGGAGCCTGTCCAAGACATGAGACCCCATGTGATTTCCAGCATGGCTTTCATGCGGTCGTTTCTTTCCCAAAAGCTAGTAACGGTTTCATCTCTTCGATTTGAGGAGCTGGTATCCAGGAATGTTTTCATCGTCGCCGCTGCATAGTGCCGTAGTCTTGGTGCTGGCTCAGCTGAGGCACAGTACCTATAGTCATGTGACTTTACGCTGTGTCCAGGCAATCCCCTTTCCCACGCTTGCATATTACCTACTTTGCGGATGAGAGCCATATGCGCTTGTCATCAAAAGAATGCTGGAGGGTATGGTGCACCGACTTCCCAGTCAAAGTCCGGTTGCCGGCCTCCCTCCCACCTCCACCACCAAAAGTCGACGCGCGTGAAAAAGTTGATGGTCTTGAGGCGGCTCAAATCCCAGAAGAACAAGCCAAAGAGTCGGCAGTTGGTCATTCGTAGGTCGTTGCAGGTTGAGCCGGGGAATGATTGATATGCCCAATACCACGCTTCTTCAGGCCCCTTGTCGATATCATCGGTGACCAAGGACTCTCGCACGTATTCCTTATACTCGTCCTCCGTATAAGACGAAAGAGCTTTTTGGAAGGGGAGTTCCAAATTGCTCAACTCGACACACTCATCGACTGCGTCGGTAAACCAAGAGTAGATCTCACCCACCCGGTTGTAGCTGGCGTAACGCGACTGCTGCGGGAGGTCTCGGAGGAGCTGGTAGAATTGTGTGGCCGGCGAGGTAGACACTTTGTAGAGGAACTTGACTCCAAAGCACAATAGTCGCGCTTGGTTCTGGTTGATGTGACAGTCGTTGCGCTCCAAGTTGGGAGGAAGAATCGGAGCCGTCCAGTACACCACTTGAGCTCCGTTTCGTGGGCCACAGTGGTGCGTCTGAAGGGCTTCAAGCTTTCGCAATTCCACGAGAGCACGTAAAGCTAGTGAAAAGTCAGGTATCCAGGCTAATATGGCGGAAGTTGGACAACGACTTACGAGGACCGATGACAGCCGCCGCAAGGAGGTCCCTAATGGCAACTAGTTGTTCGATTTCCCAAGGTGACAAACAGTCAAAGAAGTGTGCTCTTTGGAAGTTGACCGCGTCCAAGTTGAATCGCACAACTTCCGGGTCTTTAAACAACTTGCAGTAAATCTCAAAACGGTACAGGGCTCTTTGAAATCGGGCCGCTTCGGCAGCCGAAGGCTCCTCGGCCGTGATGGGCGCCTCTGGCCAGTCAGGCCGGTCGTTGGCGAGACCGCGTTGCTCCTTGACTAGGCGTTGCAGCGCAAGGCCTTGGAACTTTGATCCCAAGTGGCTGACACACTTGTGTAGTTCCGACAGGGCAGCGCCATCTGACAAGCTGATCGTCGGAGGAATGGGGGCTCGCCTCCTGAGGTATCCGTCACTGAAGTTGACAACCAGATTCTGGTCTCTCGGGTCAAACTTGGATGACTCAAGTGCCGCTATAGCGTCTGGCAGTGTACGGTGACCGATTTCGTTCAGGAGCACCTGCCGACATGCCGAAGGAGCGCAGCGGAGGTGTGTGGGAGATACAAGAGCTGCACTCCTGAGGCAGTCGAAGTCGGGCATGAAAGAGAGGATCGCAACCCATATTTCTTCCGGCAAGGGCCGTGACATTTTGTTGGATAAGGCTCAGTCCCGGTCCGGACGAACAGTATGAAATAATGGATGTTGGCTTTGAATTAAAGGCTCTCTTTGCCTTAATGATGTAAGTGTTCACCGGTTGTGTAATAGCAGGTGACCTGCTCGAGGATCAACCGTTTGCTTTCGAAGAAAAAATGACACAGATGTTCGTGGTGGAGTACAACATCGGATCAACTCTCGCTTCAACGCTGTGTTTACTGGCAGTGCGACTGTGGTTCCCAGCGTTGATGATAGGGGCTTGCATGGATATTGTTGGTCGATGTCAGTATTGGTGATTAAGCAACTGGGTTTTCAAACTGGCAGTTTGATCGATGAATAAGGAGCTGTCAAAGTATGAGGTTCGGCCAATATGCCGGGTTCCCCAATGGGTTGTGGTTGTGAGATTGCTTAGCTGATGCGGCGACGATGCATGAAAGTCCGTCCCGGCCGCCGCGTGGTTAGGTAATTCAGTCGGGTCCCAAATGTACAGTGCTGACGGACAGGTCACACAGCCAACAGCCAGGTCTTGATCACTGTGCGGGTCTCCACAGCAGTAACTGCCAATGAGCTTCCACAAGAAAGGCTAAGCCGTAAACGGCTAGCGCTCAATTGCTCTCAAGTCTCGCTGCAGGAAGATGCAGTGAATTGCTGGTCGGGAGCAAGCTCGCGTCAAATCCCTTCCCCAGCCCAGCCACGGTACCTTTTCGCGAACGTCACCTCCTCCGCCGCATCCCACTTCGCGCCATCGAGCCTCAATTATCGCATCGTTACTACGAGCAGCTCCGACCTCGTCTCGGATCAACGCCGCCTGCCAAAATCTCGCCGCGATGGGCAAGAAGAAGCGTGGTCACCCCGATGTCGAGGACGTCCTCTCCCGGCCGTGGTGCTACTACTGTATGCCTACACCTGCTCTACTGCCTCGAGATAGAATGCGCGTGCTAACTCTGCCATAGGCGAGCGTGACTTCGAGGATCTGAAGCTCCTTATTTCTCATCAGAAGGCCAAGCATTTCAAGTGCGACAGATGCGGTCGCCGACTCAACACCGCTGGAGGTCAGTTCATGATGCGCTTTCCTTGTTGTCCCATCGCCAGCTAACTTGTTTCGCTGTTCAGGTCTCTCAGTCCATTTGAACCAGGTCCACAAGGAAACCCTCACCCAAGTCGAGAATGCGCTACCGAACCGACAGGGTCTTGACGTCGAGATCTTTGGTATGGAGGGTATTCCCCAGGACATATTGGATCAGCACAGGAATCGCATTATCCAGAACTTCTACCAGGCCCAGGAGGACCGCCGTATCGCCACGGGAAACCCTCTGCCTGGCCAGTCAAAGCAGCCGAGGAAGAAGCTCAAGGTCGAAACTCCCGAGGAGCTCAAGGCCCGTCTTGCCGAGCACCGCGCAAGGATTGCTGCCGGGCATACTCCAGGCACCAGTGGCAGCCCGGCCAACGGCGCCCCCGCGAGCGCAAGCCCAGGTGCATTTGTAAGTTACGCCCATCATCCTATTGATGGGATATCGCGTCCGATACTAATTGTCTACTGCAGAACAACTCTCCTTACCCCCCGCCGCAAGCGCCCTATGGGGCTTCTCCCGATCAGAACTTCCCGCCCGGCGGCGCGCCTGGCGCCCCTGCATACCCGCAGTCAGGCTACCCGCAAGGCAACTATGCCGGTTTCTCTCCGTCATCTCTGCCTGCAAGACCGACTAGTGGCCTGCAAGCGATGCCTGGTCTTCCTCAGCGCCCGCCGCAGTATGGTGGTCAGTTCTGGAATGGCTCTGGCGCCCCGCCGCCTGGGTACCCGGGAGCATCAACTGTTGATGAGCTGGTCTCTGGCGCTGCGCAACACGGAGACGAAATTGATGAGCTCATTCGCAGAGCCGAATCTGGCATCAAGCCGCCCAAGAAGCCCGAGGACGAGGCTGCAGATGAGGCCGCGGGCGACAAGAAGTCGAAGAAGGACAAGAATGGCAGGATGTTTTACGCAGACACGGAGGTCAGCCCCGAGGAGCGCATGGCCCAATTACCGAGATACGCCTACGTGCCGCCTGCATCTTAGGCAATTGCTGTCGGGCTAGTTGAATATCAACCGGAGGCGTCGCGGTCCGGACGCGCTCGATCAACGGCACATGGCCACAGCCGCACGCTTCCACCAAAATGACGTGATTTTCTATACTCAGGGCGAGGACGACGGCATCCTACCGGAGCGGAGTTTAAATGGCGCAGCTGGGTTTGGGATGTACATAACTGTAAGGAACGCGCTAAAATTTCCGTCACTGTACTCATCGTAGGCTGTGGCGCTGAACAAAATGACAGGTTCTGCGCTCCCTGATGACCACCTATTAGTGATGTTTGTCTTCGATTGAAAGGTTTACAAGTGGGCAAGCTTCTGGTCTTCCGCCGCGTCCATCTCGGTTCCGGTCCTGCAGATGGGTTTGCAGCATGATGAGTGACAGTGCGTCCGAAATTGGATCCGGTCAGAAGTTTTGCTGACCTGACTGCAGTGCACGACGCATTCATCATCCCCGTTGCCAAAACCCTCGCCGTCCGCGGTCCCTTAACGACTCCCTCTGTGATAACCAACCAGGGGATATATTGCTTGTACGAGTTCAGTCCTGCGGCTGATTGACATTACAAGTAGCTTACTTTATATCATGCTACGAATGCCACTCCTCTCAGACAGTTCTTTAGCGGACCCGAGGCAAAGTAGAGGCTGAATTCCATCCGGTTCATACCGAACTCTCATGGATAAGTTGGATCAAAGCCAAGATGACCTGTACACCTCCTTGAGCTAAACTCTAAACTCAACTACATCTGAATCCGTATGTACTGTAATCATGAGAATAGCACTGCAAAGCGCAGTGAGCCTTCCAACTTCATCTCTATCTAGTATCCGGCGGTCGAATAGCATTACCTTTTCTTATCAAACTTCGCTCCCATTCATGATGGGCTCGTCAGAGTCTATCAGATTTCGTCCTGACTTACCACGACTGCTGTCGCAGTCAGCTTCGCTGCGCATGCACCTTCACAGTTGGTCTTGAGTGTCATTGCAGCAATCTACGTTTGGAATGACTTGCCTTGGGATACTCGCCTACATAATGAGGATATTTGCTTGACGATTAATGATGAGTGCGACTGCGATACTTGTGAAGCTTCTCTCCGGTTTATGTTCCCATGAAACTCATCCCGAGTTTTGTCTTGGAAACAAAGGTAGGTGATTGATCAATCAGTAGCCGTTCTATGACGGAAGTGGTTTATTTTGTAGATAATTAATAGCCTGAACAGTCTTTTTGTATGGTCTATCATCTTGCATAGCATATAGACATATGCTTGGTTCACGATGCATATCACCAGTTTGTCGATATACTAGGTATCTAATATCCAGCCAGAAATCCTGTAAATTCGTTTCGTGCCTGAAGTTACTGCCCACCAGTGTGAAAGTTGAAATAGATCATCGTCGGAACTGGTCTAAATCATTAAGGTCCACAAGCCAGGTCTTTGTCGCCTGCTGCTTTGGTTGGTGAAATACTCGATCTTACTTGTTTGACTGGCTGACATCGAACGTTACAGATATTTGTTTCAATATTGACTCCTAGTGTAGTATACTATTAGATATCTTGTGCTGCATTTACTCTTTTAGCATTTTGAACGTAATGGTCTTATGAGTGAAGTATGTACCATGGCCTTGGACCCACATTTGCTCCTTTCAATGCTTCCTGCCATTTCTCAAGCACAACATAGCTTGAGGGAAAGTAATCGTACTCTCCTTCCTAAAATCTCAGTTCTGGTTTTTTGTTAGTGAATGACAGGCTAAAAGCTGATGAAATAAACCATGCCTTTATCAAAGTGGAACACGCCGATGGTGCAGGCGATTATCGGATATTTTGGTTCTGGCCATCATCGATAACAAAATGAAGGACAAGTTTCCAACGTCCTACCCCTCTTAATCGCCGCCTGCTCGGTCATTTCCGGCGCTGCCCCTAGACTGTTCACCGCCTTGCACGTAGACTAACAGCTTCAGTGGCAGCCATTGCTTTGGAAAAGGGCAATCGCTGCGTTCTGCTAGCCGAATCCAACTTCGCAGATAAACCGATCTAATAGCATGACAACGACCAAGAGTTACTGGCTCAGACACGCAAGACCATATTTCACCAAATTTATCGGATAGATTGTCTGACTATGGGACATCCATGGGGGTTCTCGGCCATGAAACCTTCACAATCTTGTTGTCTTGTCCGCCAAAACTGTGAAAGCAGGCGCGGTCTCAGTCGTGGTGAGGTGTGTGGACATCCACGCCCATAACGTCCTCGGCCTATCGTAATTCGGTGACATCGGCTCCAGAGAAGGGGAAAGCTACGTTCGCTTCTACGTATCGGCTGGCACTTTACTGCCGCGTTTCGAAGAGAGAACGCGTGGAGAAGCCAACCTGGTGTGTGTGCACCACGCCCCGGTTGATGTTTCCGCTGTGGGGTAGCAGAATCCGATTGGAAAGCAAACAGCCATAGGAGATGGGATGAAAGCCAGCAACATCAACGCATCAACCCTTCGGAAAACGATGGAGATGGACTCATAGAATGCAAGTCATACAGGATTGATGTTTTCAGAGACGGCAGTGAGGTCAATGTTGTGAACAGGGTACTTTTTTTTATTTCTGCTACGCGGAACCTCAGACAAATGAAGGACTGTGTTGCAGAGAAAATCTTCCCTGCCAGCGCCTCCAGCTCTTTTTGACTTGATCCCTTTCATCTTACTCTAAGTCTAGAAGGCGTGACATTGTTCAGGTGCATGACGTTGATTGAGTTATTTTAAAGCAACCGAACTCCGAGCGTTTGAAGTGAAATGAGATGGAAATGGAAAGCGAGAAATCACGGCAAGCCATTGCTGTTTGAAGAATGTTTACAAACGAGTACTTTAACCAAAGCGAGTTTCTTCACTTCGTCTTCCCGTGTGATCTCCTCACTTGCAGATTTAAATCGCGGGGAAACCTTGATGACGCGTTACCTGTTCTTGCTCCAACTCCAGGTCATTGGGAACCGGCAAAGGCGCGCCGGGGCTGTCGCGATGACTCGCGAGAGCCCTAGCAACTTAGGCCACCCTCTGCGATGGTTTCATCCGTGCGATGCTGGGTCATCCGGGTAATTAGGGAACCAGACGAACATGGCCTGGGCGACTCGGTGCTCGGGAGATATCATGCTCGGGTCTACCATCAGGCAATACAGCATGGGGATGTGCGCTTTACGGCTAAATGCAACCTCTCCACTTCCAATGCCACGACCTGTATTTCCCCGCAGTCATTTTGCCGTGGGCACGCTGATCGACGAACCTTCGAATTTCCAAACCGAAAGATATTTGGGGTAACTTTCATAGCAATCCCCCCAGTATTCTTCACTGAGTTTTGTAGACTGTTATGCTTAAAACAATAGACTCTTGAAAGAATATCAATTGACCTTGACTATAGCAGAACGCTAAGCCAAGACTGATTCCACTCATGATAGAAGTTTCGTCTTCGGCAGTCGGCTCATGGATTGAACTAGGGTGGTTGGGCCGATCAACGTGGGGTAGTAGGTTGGAAGACACTCGCTTCGAGGACCTGGCGCGCCGCGTTGCGGGGCCGCTCGACTCAAGCATATTGGAGGTTGAGGTCTCGTTGGTTCCGTCACCCGAGGGAACCATGGATGTTTCTTCTAGCAGGGGCTCGAGAAAACTCGCTGGCTCCGTCTTCGACCTGTCATGGGAGCATTAGAAGTGGTCCCTTTTACCCGTCGGTCAGGCACGATCATCCTGGCTGGTGTCATCCATCCCGAGACGTCCCTGCGTGTGCTTCCTGTCCCATTATTGGCGGTGAAAATGATTATTGTGCCTGTGGTGTCATTCATATGCGCTCCCACCTCCCCATGCCCGATCAACCTGATCCCCCAAGGGTAGCGTCATCCTGGCCATGTCCACCGACCGTTCCTGGGTCAGATATTGCACTAGACCATTTGGTGGGATGCTCAGCTTTGTAGTTATATAATAGGTAGAGCTCCTGCCCCATTGATGATGCACGCTGCCCTTTGATCGCCACCTTGTTCTTGACCTTTCGCAGTCTTACTCGGCGAATCTGCCCAGACGTGAGCTTCCTCAAGCCCGCAGTCATGGTTTTCGTCAACTTGAAGTCCATCTCGCTGGTGGCACTCTCGAGTTTGGCACCCCTGATCTCAGCCCTTGGACAGAAACAGATCATCTCTTTCCAAAATGGTTCAGACAGCTTCCAGATCGCGGGCGGCGACACTGGAACTGGACAGATCCTGGTGTCCAGCGATGACTACTGGGGTGTCATTCGTGCTGCCGGTGACTTAGCCTTGGATTTTGGTCGCGTCACGGGCACGAACTACACGCTCAGCAATGGTGTGAATGGCTCGGAGCCGGCTTCCTACACCTTTGCTCCCGTGGATGTCAGCAACAACACTATCGTGAGTATATCCAGTTGTGACCAGATATTGATTTACTCAATACCTGGCCCCCCTTCTCAAGAGACCTGGAAGTAGTTTCGGGACACGTGAGGGCCCAATGTTGACGTTTGCAGTACCGCGTCCAAGACAAACAATCCTTCACCGGCCCCAACTACACCGACCCAGCGCCCGGCAGCACAGTCGTCATAGCCGGAACCGTTGGCCATTCAAAGTTCATCGACGATCTCGTCGCGGCCAAAAAGCTCAACACGAGCGCAATTGACGGGCAATGGGAGTCTTTCGTCAGCCAATTGGTTGAGAACCCCGTTCCGGGATGCTCCCGCGCCCTCGTTATTGCCGGCAGCGATCCTCGAGGCACCATCTACGGCATATACGACATCAGCGAGCAGATTGGCGTCAGCCCTTGGTACTTTTGGGCCGATGTGCCTCCCAAGAAGGCCACTGAAATATACGTCTTGCCTGAAGGCAAGGTTCAAGGATCCCCTTCGGTTAAGTATCGTGGTTTCTTCCTTAATGACGAGCAGCCGGCTTTGTCCAGTTGGGTTTCGTGAGTTACACGGCACTTTCATCGAGAATGAGGGCTAACGCATTGTCAGATCCCGATGGAACGACACCTGGAACAATGCCGCAGGGTACAACTACCACTTCTATAGCCTGGTCGGCGAGCTTCTACTCCGTCTTCGTGCCAACTACATCTGGCCAACGGTTTGGGGCAGCATGATTTACGTCGACGACCCACTCAACCAGCCCCTCCTCGATGCCTACGAGGTTGTTCTGGGTGGTTCCCACACGGAGCCTATGATGCGCGCCCAGAACGAGTTCCAGACATTCTACCAAGGCCAGTGGGCGTACAATCTCAACAACAAAACCATTGATGACTACTTCCGGTACGGTGTGCAGCGTGCCAAGCCATACACCCGTAACAGTCTGTATACGATGGGAATGCGTGGCACGGGCGACACGGCTATCGAGGGCAACTTGGGAGTTGAGGCAATCATCGAGATGCTGGAGGTACTTGTGAAGAACCAGCAGAAAATCATTGTCGATGGCCTTGGGGTCGAGTCTGCCTCCGATGTTCCGTCCTTATGGTGTCTCTACAAGGAGGTTCAGTCATACCAAGAGAAGGGCCTCCAGGTTCCCGAAGACATCACTCTCCTTTGGGCCGACGACAACTGGGGTAACGTCCGAAGGTTGCCGCTGGTGAATGAGACATCCCGAAGCGGTGGTGCTGGCGTATACTACCACTTCGACTACGTCGGCTCCCCGCGCGACTATAAGTGGATCAACACCATCCAGCTGGAGAAGACAGCAGAACAGATGTACCTCGCGTATGCGCGAGATGCCCGCAGGATTTGGATCGTTAACGTCGGCGATCTTAAGCCCCTCGAGATCCCCATCAGTCACTTCTTCGACCTCGCGTACGACACCGAAAAATGGGGGGTTGATGGGACTGAAGAGTGGCTCAGTGCCTGGGCGACCAGGGAGTTTGGTGAAAACCACTCGTCCAACATCTCGGACATCTTGACGAAGTATGGCATGTATGCAGCTCGCCGAAAGTACGAACTGGTTCAGCCCCAGACCTACTCTGTCATCAACTACAATGAGGCAGACGCAGTCTTGGAGCAGTGGGCCGCTCTGCAAGCGCAAGCTCAGGCTGTGTACGATGCTCTCGATAAAGAGTACCAAGCGGCCTTTTTCGAGATGATTCTGCACCCCATCACCGCTGGCGAGATTCTGAACAAGATCCAGATCAACGGAGCGAAGAACCAGTTGTACGCTGGACAAAAGCGTAACCTGGCCAACGATGTTATCGACGAGTCCAGGGCTTTGCTCGACGCCGATGCTGAGCTGACCAACAGATGGAACGAGTTGCTCGATGGAAAATGGGTGCACATGATGGACCGTAAGTACACACTTTGCTCTCAATCAAGGGCGCAGCACTAACGTAGAGCAGAAACTCATCTTGGATACGATGACTACTGGCAACAACCCATGCGCAACACCCTCCCTGACATGCGTTACGTCCAGACGCAATTCCCCTCGTTGGGTGGTCAGATTGGCGTCGGGGTCGAAGCCTCCAACGCGAGCGTCCAGGGAGACGACAAGTGGCATACCAACTCTGCCAACGACCTCACCGTGCCCCCACTGGACCCCTACGGCGCGCTCTCGCGCTACTTTGAGGTCTTTACTCGTGGCAACACGGCGTGTCCCTGGGCGGCCAGCCCGTGGGTGCCGTGGGTTAAGCTGTCGCAGTACAACGGAACCGTTGGCGGCGCGAACGGCACTGATAGTCGCGTCTGGATCTCGATTGACTGGGAAAATGCGCCGGCGGCTCCTAACGCGACGCAGGTGTATATCAATGTCACAACGCCGTGTGTAGGCACGGAGAAGTACTCTGGCCGGGGACAGAGGGTCATCGTGCCGGTTGTCAATCGCAAGGTTCCGTCCAGCTTCACTGAGGGCTTCGTCGAGTCTGATGGACACGTGTCCATCGAGGGCCCTCACTACCAGAAGATCGTCGAGCCGAGCGGCATTTCAAACAGCAGCAGCAAGCTCAAGTACCATGTGCTCAAGAACTACGGCCGCACCATGGGCGGAGTCACGCTGTACCCGCCCGAGTCGGAGAAAGTTAAGCTCGGCCAGGGTCCGGCCCTGGAGTACAACTTATATCTCTTCACCAACACCAGCAAGGCCAATGTCACGCTGTACATCTCGCCGTCGGGCAACTACCTCGGCGACGGCAGCCCACTCGAGTACGGCATCTCTCTTTTCCCGACCGGCAGCAACGGGCCGCAGCCCAAGACGGTTCAGCCGGTGGGCAAGACGCAGGGTCAGAACATGCCTGATGGATGGGACGGTGCCGTGGCCGATTCTGTTTGGGGACTCAGCGGCAACTACACGACGACGACATTTAACGTCGCCCAGGAGGGTGCGTACACGTTGCGTATCTGGACGCTCCTCCCGAACGTTATCGTGCAGAAGATTGTGGTCAACCTCGGCGGCGTGAGAAAGTCGTATCTCGGCCCCCTGAGAGTTTCTTGCTGGGACGTGATGAGCAGGGCGTTTCTAGCCGGACGGTGTTTACGGATACGCCCGGTATTCTTGGAGGTAAATCACAGTAACGTGCAGTGGGTTGTCGACGCGTTGGCCGTGGCTGTTAGTGTTGCTTCCAAGTAAACTGAGTTGATGTTGGGAGGGAGTGATTGGCCGAACGAAAAGCGGATGAAAGCGCTGAGCGAAGTAACGTTAATACCTAATGGAATAGAAACATGACTCTCTGTCCCCTAACAGCGGCCCAGCCAAGATCCAGTCAAACGGGGAGTTTTAATGGACTTTTCACTGACCCATGGCGCGTAACATGTTTTGCTGTGCACAGTGTGTGGCCCTTTGTTTGGAGACCCCGAGACTCCTTTGTCCACCGAGGTCTTCATTGTTTGTGGCTGAAGCCGAAGCACCAGCCTCGATGCATGTCAGACCCACTTCAGCCCAGACCAAGGATGTGTGGCTTGCCAGGAATTGCCTTTCCTGATTCGTGTATCTTCAAGTGTGGTGGATCTGTCGGAAGGGAATCGGGCTTAGCGTCCCCACACCTGCCTCGCTTAAATGGCTCCCGGTCGCCTGGAGCAACAGCGGCACTCGGTGCCAAAAAACAACAAACGTCAGTCCAGTCAGTCACTCTGCACAGTCAGCCCAGCCGAGAAGAAACGGGGGTCCCTTTCAAGACATTCACACGTCTCTGTCCGCGACTCTTCTAATCTCTTATCCATCTGCAGCTTCCATCCAACGTCGACCGGCACAGGTAGCAGCCAGAAGAAAGCTGCTCCTTCCTTCCTCACTTTCACTAACTCCCAACACGACAGCAGCTTCGCTCCTCTGCCGACCATATTCCCTTAATTCTCCCCTCTTTTTCTCCCACGTCTCTTCCTCTTCGCACATGCTTGGTCCGCGCTGCAAAGCGGCTTTGTTTATTTCTTGACTTCACCACAACCGTTTACTGCTGCGGCACCTTCCTCTGTCTTGGACTCGGAGCTCTATTTGTTTACAGTCTTGGAGCGAGCAGTCGGTTCGAGTCCGAGCCATTCCCGCACGACACGATACGAGACAGAACGGCCATACCATATTCACAAACAACAGCAAACATGGTCGCCGACCCCAATGCCGCCTCCATCACGGTCTCAGGTTCGTCAAACAGTCTACTACTCTACCGTGAATGTGAATACTGACGTCTTTTCTCACTAGTTCGAGTGCGACCGTTCACGATCCGAGAAGCTGCCCAACTGTATGTCAAACCAACGGGGGAAATGCGACCATGCGAATAGCCTACTAACTGTCTTTAGAACTCGCAACGATGAGGGCACTGTTTTCCTCGGCGAAGGCTCTCTCGCCGCCGCACCACCAAAGCTCCAGAGGGGTGGTATCAGACCGGTCATCAAGGTCGTCGATGACAGATGCTTGTGAGTGCTTTACGTCCTAGCTGCTGTCAACTTCCACCCTAACGTCCTATTCACAGAGTTTTCGACCCGCCCGAGGACAACCCTGTTCACAGATTCGGACGATCCGTCGTGCCCAACGGCAAGAAGGTCAAGGATCAAACCTTCATGTTCGACAGAATATTCGACGAGAACGCAACACAAAACGACGTCTACGAAGGCACTACAAAGCAACTTCTCGATAGCGTCCTCGACGGCTACAATGCTACGGTCTTCGCCTACGGCGCTACCGGTTGCGGCAAGACGCACACCATTACCGGCACATCACAACACCCAGGAATTATCTTCATGACCATGCAGGAACTCTTCGAAAAGATCAACGAACGAAGCCAGGACAAGACCACCGAGATCACGCTTTCCTACCTCGAGATCTACAATGAGACCATCCGCGATCTGTTGATCCCCGGAGGCAGCAAGCAGGGATTGATGCTCCGTGAGGATTCGAATCAGGCCGTGTCTGTCGCAGGCCTGACAAGCCACCATCCCAAGAACGTACAAGAGGTCATGGACATGATCGTTCAGGGAAATGAGTGGCGTACTGTCTCGCCGACCGAGGCCAATGCCACCTCCTCCCGCTCCCACGCTGTTCTTCAGATCAACGTGTCGCAAAAGGACCGCAACGCCGACGTCAACGAGCCGCATACCATGGCCACGCTGAGCATCATCGATCTTGCCGGTAGCGAACGTGCCAGCGCCACGAAGAACCGCGGCGAGCGTCTGCTCGAAGGCGCAAACATCAACAAGTCCCTCTTGGCCCTGGGAAGCTGCATTAATGCCTTGTGCGACCCGCGCAAGCGCAACCACGTACCATATCGCAACAGCAAACTTACTCGACTCCTCAAGTTCTCCCTCGGTGGCAACTGCAAGACGGTCATGATTGTGTGTGTCAGTCCTTCAAGCGTTCACTTCGACGAAACGCAAAACACTCTCCGATACGCGAACCGAGCCAAGAATATCCAGACCAAGGTCACCCGTAACGTCTTCAACGTCAACAGACACGTCAAGGACTTCTTGGTCAAGATTGACGAGCAAATTGCGCTGATCAATGAGCTCAAGGCGCAACAGAAGGATGCCGAAAAGATATTCTACGCCAAGTTCCGTAAGCAATTGGAAAAGCGCGACTCCGTCGCCCGCGAAGGCGTTCAGCGCATTCGCGTGGCCTACGACAACTCTGCCAACGACAGGCGGGACAAGATCAACAACATGAAGAAGTTGCGGGCTTTCGAAAGGCGCATCGGCATACTTTCCGCCTGGATTGCCTCCTTCGACACTGTCTGCGATCGGAGAGGAGATGAAGACTCGATGCCCGCGCCCCTCCTTGCCATCCGCAAGACAGCGCAAGGCATCTTGGTTGAGTTGGAGCACAGCCGCCACCACATTCACCAAAAGCTGGAGAACACCAACTGGGAACGGGCCATCGATACTGCCCTTCATCACAGCATCAAGCAGTTACCCGGCGGCGACGCTGACGCAGCCGAGATTGACGCCCTGACCCGCGAGGCAGAGTTACTGAAGGCCAACTTTGGCAGAGATGCCACCCGGGAGGTCATGGAAATGGATAAGGTCGGCGATGCGGCCATGATCCAAGTTCTCCTGACCGCCCAGTTCGACATTCTGGCGTCGCTCGAAGATACTTTGGAGATGAATGAAGAGGATGCCGTTGCGCACGCTAAACGGATTATCAACCGTTTGCTGGAGGCCGGCTTCTCGGCCGCCTCCCATATCGTCAAACCTGACGGTGCCATGATCCCCGTCGAGAAGTTTTCTCCCAGCAAGCGAGGCACACCGAAGCGCAAGAAGGCAGTCATCAACAACATTAACAACACATCTCCTGTTCGACAGCCTGCTTTTGTCCCGCCTTCCGAGCCTGCGCCTCAACCCCATGCGTCTCCCATGAAGTCGTCGCCTCGCCGTAGGAAGGCCGGTGCGCCGCGGAGTCCTCGTAAGGGGGTCTCTTTTACGCCAGTCAGGAGGAAGTCGGAAGCCAAGCGAGCTGTTCGCTGGAGGGACGATGAAACCGAGCAGGGTACGCTGGCGGATTTCGAAAAGACACCCAAGAAGTTCGACTCGACGCCAGAGCACAACTCGCCCGACAAGACAGCATTGAGAATGCCAGCCCTACCCTCCTACTTGCGAACCGCCTCGCCCAACTCCGACACTAGCCCGACGCTAGAGCTTCCTGAATCCTCATCCATCCCGCTGGTCAAACCTAACAGGTTCCAGGCTGGATTCCTGTCCAAGGGCCGCGTCTCGTCCATTGGCTCTGGGTCTCCGACCGTGCCAGTGCCGACAATGTCGTTGCCCCTGGGCTCGTCTCCGTCGTCGGACAGCGGAGACCGCGTGGCTCCCTTGCGCGCTCTTGACGTGCACCGCTCCTCCAACCTGTCTCCGCCGGCCTTCCGCTCTAGGATTGCGAGAGCTAGCCCGCCGCCGAGGACTTCCCTTTCAGGCAATTTATCGGCCGACGAGAACAACCCGCCATCGTCTCAGAATGCCTCTGGATCCGAGTCGGAGTCTCCCAGCATCGATCCTAGAAAGATTCGATCTGCCTTGCAGTCCATGAAGAAGGTCCGAGGCGAGCACCGTCGTGTGTCGTCCATAGGAGGGTCGGCGGGCAACAACGCCAGGCGTATTTCTTCGGTCAACCCGATTGGCTCCAACCATCGGGCATCGACGAGCTTCTCGGGTCCGTTGGCTAGCAACTCAAACGGCATCTCGCGGCAGCGCCGAGCCAGTGCGGAGCGGAGGCTTTCTCCGCCCATCACCTGCTCCCCCCCTGATCTTAGGAATGATCGGGCGTTCACCGCAGGGCAAGCAAGGAGAATGCACCTGGGAGGTAGTTTGAGATTGGAGGGAGGAAGCCCCCAGGCGCCTCAAAACAGAATGGCTAGCGCCGACTTCAAGAACAGACGCATCACCATTGGCAGCCTGGCGGCCAACGGAAAGATCGAGAAGACGCACGCACCCAGACCCAGCGTGGCAGGGTGGCGTTGATTTTGTTCTGGTTTCAATCATACCCATTTGGTTGTCGCATAGCAGTGCGACGAGGAGTCTCGGGCTGTTCTTCTCTCTCGTTTTTCCATTGATGGGGCGTTGGGCACTCTTCAGGTCTTAGCCCTTGAATTCGTCGTTTGGCTGTTTCCATCGTCTGGCGGGCCTGGTCGAGGGTCTTTGTATGGTTGTTGTATCAATAGCTGGCGGTCGGTGAATATCTACAGTTTATCTAATGACAAGGGTCCAGTAGCAAAGTCCCAGGCTAACAGTGGTATGTGCTCATTTGAGGAATTAAACTCGAATAGCCGCGGAAAAGTCTCCATAGAACTCTATTCCAATGAGGCCATAGCCTCTGTTTTGTGCCTCACGGTAAGTATGTAGTTGGTTCGCAACGTTGTTCTGACCTTATTATCAAACGGCTTTTTCATCCGTCTTTTCCGCCCTACTTACAGCTCGGAGGTCATGTTGGAGCAGATAACCAGCTCAAGACAGCGGATTGCGAGGAGAGGCAGCATTACGAGCACCTCGGCTCCTAAAGTTCAATCGGAGCTCTTCTCAGAGACGTCCTTTCGGCTGGCGCTCAACGGCATGTAATCCTCAGCTCAGCTCGAAGTGGCAAATCTCGTTGCATTGATTGCCACTGTGACTCCAACTGACGGCAAACGCAGCACCCGGACTTTAGGAGGACGAAAATCTAGTTCACTTATGCAATGGGTTGGTGCCGGCGGCAATGGTTTAGATCGGACGCGGCATCGGCTGAAAGCTCGCTCCGGAGGGCGGTCGGCCGAGTCATTGTCGCCGATCGTTGTCGATACACACACATCAGATGACGGACACACGGACAGCAGCAGCAGCATTAATTCATAACTGAACGAGCACAGCGACGGGACGTTGAACTAAGCACCGCTACCTCCACTTCGCTAAGCTGCATCTCAACGGCGGATATTTGGGGCGGGCAGCGATAAAGAGGATGGGATGGCATTACCTAAAGTCGGTTAGTGGTACGTAATCGATTTATCCCTTTACCTAAGAGGCTATCGAGCCGCCCACAGCAGGGGATGACCTGGGTCGGAGGAGCTGAGAGTTTTGCAACGCCGCAATCTTATTCCAATCATGCTTATTCGATTGATATTCTCCAACCAACGCTTATCGCGCCATCGGCAGAAGAGGGCGGGTTGATTGTCGCTTGGGATGGGAGAGGCTTGAGTGGCTTGAGTGGCTGGGCTGTTTCCAATGTCTCACTCAATCCCCGAATGGCGATCCGTCTGTACAGTATTCCCTTATCTCTCGGAGCAAGGACGCCGGCTGAGTCGGCATCGCTGGTAACCGCCACCTGCTCAACTCGCCGCTCTGCAGCGCTGGCACCCCCAGACGCGACGACAGTGAAGCGTCGGGGCGCGAGGATGAATGAGGAATGTGAGAAGGACCTCGTCCAGAGTTTTGCGCAGCCCGACCGTTGTTCGAGTTGGGGAGAAAGTTTGGTCCAAGACCCGCGCGAACTTTTGCAAAGGTAAACGAGTCGGCCCCCGTCAATGTCCCCTCTGGGCCATGCCACTTCTCGAAAGAGAAACTGGATGCAACTACAGCAGGGTCCAGGTCGTAACAGCCACAGCACGTCATGGCAGGTTCCGACTGAGCGTCTACAGGGCATAATCGCCAAGATGGCAGCGACGAGCCGAGGCCTGCGCTGTCAAGACCCGTTGACAAGGAGAAACGTGCATAGAGAATGCCTCGAGCAGGCATCATACACCCCTCCCCCAATCGCCACCGTCATCCGCCCCAGACGTCGCGTTGCCTTCCTTCCCGTCTTGGCCTCGATCTCGTACCTGCGCGGCCCCGGACTGGGCACTTCTGGGCAATGTCTGGGCAAGGTGGCAGGCATGGAGCGAAGATGGTGAGAGGGTTGCAATCGCCGCCGTCGCTCGCATGCGAGCATCGCGGGTGGAGACTTGGCGGTAAAGCTTGTTTCCATGTGCCGAGGCGGCACCAAATGCCTGGCGATGGCCGCGGGAGACCAATCAAGGGGTGTAGACCGCGGGCGAGTTTGTGATCGACTCGCCAGCTCGACATGGGTCGTCCCGGTTCGTGTCTCGGAGCCCCAGCAGCATTGGACTGTGATGTGGCCTGGCGACTCCCGGAGCCATGTCCCGAGTAGGTAGGTGCTTTCCAACGTCGACTCGACGACCCGAGAACTTCTGGAGACCAATTCCGGAGCTCTCGCAAGCAACGGGGACCAAAGCTGCCTTGGGCCGGCAGTGCTCTCAGCTGAGAGTCTGGATTGGTTGGCAAGCTCGTTGTCGCATTTCTTTTCCTCCTCCTCCCCCCCCAGCCGCTCGCGGGGCCCCTCTTCATCATCAGCTTCCTCCTTTTCATCATCCCAACTTCCGCTTCGAACGATCGGGGACCGGCATCACGTCGCATCGCCCGAGTCGTTCGCCCCATTCGACCTGCTCTTTTCCATCTAGTCTGCCGTAGCTGAGAAGTCGTGCTTGTGACAAGCTTTGGTCAAAAGTTCCCTCCCCTCCCCCCTCCACTCCCCCTGGCCGGGAATAATTTGGCACTGAGCTGATCCTATGGGGGAGCAATGGGGCTACGGACGACCTTAGTCAAGATCTCCAGCTCCCTTATCGAGACTAGTCTGCCCGTTGATGGTTGCCGCTTGTGGTCGATTGCTTGTTGTTCCTTTGATATTGTCCTGCACCACTACCCAGGGGTGCTCTCCGTACTCATCAAAGCTGGCCCCTCTATTATCTCGAATCACGATGCATTACACTGTTATTCATGTCCGCGCCTATATGGAGTTACGACAGGAAGCCCAGCTATGGCATGATGCTCCCTATCGGAAGGTGGTATCCCTCCCCGGTTATCTCTTGCCGGACAACATGCTGGCCCAAGTTGTTGCCCCTTGTTGTTGTTGGAATATCGAAAGCTTGTGATGTCGCCAAGGGCTGCAACTAACGCATCCATGATCCCGTCGACCGAGTGAGTGGTCCTCCCCGCCGTCCAGGACAGCCTCCGCCCAGGACTCGACGATCATGATATAAACCGTCTGCTCTCCCCCATTCATCATCTCATCTCTCATCCTCATCCTCATCCTCATCGGTCTCTCCCCAGTCCTCATCCTCAGTCCTCTCATCCGCTCTCTGCCTCACTCCTCTCGGCTTCGTTGCTACCGGTCTCTTGTTGTGTCTTCCACAATGACTGGCTCTTCCTTCGTCTCGGCCCTCACGGCCGGCCTCGCCCTGGCCTCCACCGCCGCCGCCCTCCCCGCCGGTGCCCAGCAGGAGAGAGGCTTCACCGTCGAGCAGGTCCGCAACCCCCGCTACGTCCGCTCCGGTCCCCTCGCCCTTGCCAAGGCCTACCGCAAGTACAAGGCCCCTCTGCCCGAGGACCTTGCCAGCGTCGTCGCCAACATCACCGCCGCCGGCCTCGTCCAGCGCGCCACCGGCAGCGTCGCCGCCAACCCCCAGGAGTACGATGTCGAGTACCTGAGCCCCGTCCAGATCGGCACCCCGGCCCAGACCCTCAACCTCGACTTCGACACCGGCTCCTCCGACCTCTGGGTCTTCTCCACCTCGACCCCGTCCAGCCAGCGCAACGGCCAGACCGTCTACGACCCGAGCAAGTCCAGCACCGCTTCCCGCCTCTCCGGCGCCACCTGGTCCATTTCCTACGGCGACGGTTCCAGCTCCAGCGGTATTGTCTACAAGGACACCGTCACCGTCGGCGGTCTGACCGTCACCGGCCAGGCCGTCGAGGCCGCCTCAACCGTCTCCGACTCCTTCACCTCCGAGAGCGACCTGGACGGTCTCCTGGGTCTCGGCTTCAGCAACATCAACACTGTTGAGCCCACCCAGCAGAACACCTTCTTCGACACCGCCAAGTCCAAGCTGACCTCGCCCCTTTTCACTGCTGACCTGAAGCACAACAAGGGTGAGTACCTTTTTTTTTGTTCCCCCTTCCGAAGGGCATGGAGCTCGACGTACTGACAGTGAACTAGCCGGCAAGTACAACTTCGGCTACATTGACACCGCCGCCTACACCGGCTCCATCACCTACACCTCGGTCAACAGCGCGAACGGCTGGTGGCAGTTCACCTCCTCCGGCTACCAGGTCGGCTCCAGCAGCTTCGTCACCAGCTCCGTCACCGGCATCGCTGACACCGGCACCACCCTCCTCCTGCTCCCCCAGTCCATCGTCACCGCCTACTACAAGCAGATCAGCGGCGCCAAGTACGACTCATCCCAGGGAGGCTACACCTTCCCATGCTCGGCCACCGTCCCGTCCTTCACCTTCGGTGTCGGCAGCGCCCGCATCACCATCCCCAGCACCTACATGAACTACGCGCCCGTCAGCACCAGCACTTGCTTCGGTGGCCTGCAGAGCAACACCGGCATCGGCATCTCCATCTACGGTGACGTCGCCCTCAAGGCCGCTTTCGTTGTCTTCAACGGCGGCACCAAGCAGCTCGGCTGGGCTGCCAAGACCCTCTCCTAAACTACTACTTAGGAGTCGATCGGAGAGACACACAAAAAAAGATGGCGGTTTCAGCAGACCTTGCGGCCCGAATGATCTGGAATCGAGGACTGGATAGAGGACGGGAGAAATTCGGGGTCCATTGTCTGATGTGTCGTCCATCGACAAGTCATGTGACTACTTCTTATACATACTTCTTATTTGTTACGTGTTGGAGGACCATGAGTGATGATGACAAGGAGATAGCTGAGTAGCCTTATTTCAATAATGATACTCACATATGGAAAGAAGATGGCAATCCTCAAAACGCCTCTGTGTGCGCACTTTTTCCGTGCATGTGGTCGATCCACACGTTTTCCGTTGAACTAATTTTTTCCAGCGTCGCGCATCAGTGAATGTGTTCTTTTCCGAAGTGCCAAGAAACCCATGCGTGCGCATCGTGGCTGGACCGCTTAAAAAAGATACTTTCGGGCGGACTTTCACTCATGTTCACTCACCACACGTTGAGCCATTCACTCACACCCATTCCCGACTACATTCCCCATCTCATCCCCCCCTCCTACTTTCACCACGTTTTCATATGTGTTGGTCTTGGCATGGGGGGAAGCGCCGTCGGTGCTTGGCGGTCCTTTCGCAGCCCTCCTGAGTCCCGCCCAGCCCTGCACGGCGCGGTTCGCCGCCCTGCCCGATGGCCAAGAACGCCAAGAACTGTGGGAGGCAGGGAGTGAAGCCGAGAAGGTCTGAACACTCGGACTCGCTATGCCGAGATGCAGATGGTGGCTGATGGGGAAGAGGGTGAGCGAGGGCTTCCACCTCTCATCAGTGGGTGGGATTTTGGCCAAGGGTTCGTTGCCAAGAGCGAGGAAGGCCGGGGAGAGGGTGGAAAGAGGTGAACCAACCCAACCGTGAGTGAGATTGTGCTTCTTCTTCAGCATCCTGCCTGTTCGCTTCAGCGGCGCAATTTTGATGCGACAATGACGGGAAAATCGGTTACCGCATCTTGGCAGAAAAGGATTTTTATTTGATTTCAGAGATGACTGCTACATAGCCATGAACCTCATCTTCTTGGAGGTCGACTGGTTCAACTCCTCCAATGAGGTTATGAGATGAGATTGAGATTGGGGGCGAGATACGACGCGGTGAGTTTTAGCGTTGCTTCTTAGCCTAACTCTGGATTAAGGGCCTTAAAACCTTGCAATGACGATGAACGCCGTGGTAAGTGACATGTTCTATTCATTCACAGTATCAAAATACATCAATCCATTACGTTGAGTTCAGGGATGGAACTTTGGCACGCCGATGGCAAACTCTGAGCGCAGCGCTATGCAAGTACGCCACGACTAGGGCGACATGGTATTGCTTCACTGCGACAAGCTCCCCTTAAGTGCTGCGCTGGAAAAGCCAAGACAAGATTCGCTGTATTGCCTGCTCTGGCTGTCCCCTCCAGCAGCTCTCGTCGCGAAGTGGGTGTGTATTGCGGACTTCACGGAGCAAATGGAGGTCAGCGACTCGCCATTCACTCCTTCCAACTGTCCAATCACTTGTTTTCAATGCGCTTTTATTGCAACCTCAAGAAGTCTGGACCAGTCGACTCTCTCGGCGTTGAAGTGGCTAGCACGAATGTCGAAAACATGAGCGTGACCGTCGTCCGACGAACTGACGGACTAGCAATAGCAAAAATGGAGATGATCTCTCATACTCGAGCCTGTGTGTGTATAAGCTTCTTACTTGCGAGGTTTGCTCCGTTGTGAGAGGCAAATGGGAAACAAGGTGTATAGTCTACGACGGGGTGAAAAGAAATCGCCGGACTCTTCGGGGTCTAGACGGCTGCATCCAGGTTTCGGGATCGAACTGACGGAGTACTCAGCTGAGGTTCTTGTTGTAGGCCTCTCGTCGCCAAAACAGTAAGCAGATCCAGCTGCGATTAAGCATTTCGGTGATTGGGTATAGTGCCAAAGATGCTCGATGTTCATCGTGTGTCATTCGACAAGAAGCACCTCTCTTTTTTGATGCTTTGTATATCCTCAGCGTCTTGATTCGTTAAGCCATTGAACTGAGGAGCTCTCTCAGCGTCAATAGACAATGGGCAGATGTCGTGGCATAGTTCGCTGCCCTGAGCAAGGCAGTTGTTCAGTCTTCGTCATTCATGTAGGCGTTTCCATCTACTCTAAAACAGTGACACGTTATAACGCGGTTCTCGATGTTGTCGAATTTGAAGCAGCTTGTGACTACTGCATAAAATGTCATTACAGCTGTCGTTGGCAAGTAGGGTGAAGTCTGCCGTAGGATTAGAGATGTCAGGGATGTGGTTGTGGTCGAGATACCGAGCCATCCGCTTCTCGGGAGCTCTTCAGAATCGCTGGCAAGGCTTTTCGGTGGAGGTCCGCATCTGAAATTGGGAAGAGCGTAGTTGTTGTAAGTGAGCTGTTCAGTGACATAAGAAGTCTGTGGGACCAGGTTCACAACAATAGTAATCTCTCACCAGTGGTAACAAGACAGGTAATCGACGCCCGCCTCAATGATATTGTCTCTATCTTGGTGGTTCGACGATAGCCATTGAGTATGGGTTTCAAATGTTGAATCTTCAACAACTCCAAATGAACTAGCGGAACGACGATGATTTCAAGCTTGGAGCCAAAACCCAACTCTGGAACTGGGGAGCCACTAAAGGAAATGGCACATTGCCAACCCATGACTGGCGGAAGCGCGTCTTGCTAAATCGCGTTCACTTCCAACGGCAGCTGCGGCGAGACGGGGCAGGCCCAGGGCGGTGACCACGGGGCCTTGCAGACGATGCTGCTCGTTGGGTGACATCGCGGCTTGTCAGGGTGAACAGGCCAGAGACAATCCTGAATGGGGGCTTAACCTAGCTGGCTTGGCGTAAGGCGCAACCTGTGGTGGTGGATTAAGCCGATCCAACCGCCAGTGCAATATAGGGGCGGAAGGGAAAAGGAAAACACAGCGAGGCTCTTGAAGGTGGCTTGCATGCATTTTCAACGTCAAGTCTTGGAAGACAAAATTCTTCCGTCCTATGGTTCCACGGGGATAGGCCTCGACTACGATGAAGCGACACGCCGGCTCCATACTAAGGGTGCATGCCGGGAGAGAGAGAAGGCCCCACGATGTCCTCTTTGACTAGCATCTGGCGATGTTTTGGGGCTGGAACGCAGGGTCAGGAGTAAAATGTGACCTGCGTGCATCCGAGTCCCATGTGGCCGGTGACCGACCATGCGGCACAGACATCGACTAGTTACTTCACTGGTATGGAACACATACGCAGAGACACCAACTAAGCCGGCGGTGCAGGGCGTGACAGGCCGGGCAGGGCCCAAGGGCTCGGGTCCGGAAGCAGAGGGCAGCGGATGAGGAGGGAGTGGGATGTGGCATCGCATGGTGCTGGTCGAGGCTGAGCGAGTGTCCCATTAGCGCCTTATGCCCCATCAATACTTGGATACTTGCAGTATGCGCGCACGCGTCGACGAATGGGTGAAACCATCAAGCACGATGCGAAGGAAATCCGTGTGCTAGATTGGACATTGAACTTCGACAGACTGTCATTTAAACCAGACTAGTGCGATCCGTTTCTTCAGGTCAAAAACGCATTCGAATTTTTCCATCAAATGAATGAGCTTTGGCGCTCGATGCCAAGCCCTTTGGCGTGTTGCCACAAAGTTTGGGCGATGGAGGTGGTGTTCAGAGAGGATGGAGATGGATGTGGAAGATGACTTGGGTCAGGGGTGTCGGGACGATATACCAACCATCAACCGCGTTAGCGCATATGATCGATTCGGGTCTGTCTTACCTGTCCCAGTCATCCAAGTCAATGGCGAGAAGTTGACCTGATTCGTGGTTGGAGCCAAAGAAGAGCCAGAAGTCTAGGGAAAGCGTAGAGTATTTTATTGAAGGACGACGACACGACCGGATGGGACTTACCCAACCATGGTCAAGTGTCGACCGAGAAACACGGTCTCACTGCCATAGGATAGCAACGAGGTGGCGTCAATACCGCCAAGCCCGCAGTCTTCGTGTCTCTCGGTTGGTTGTAGGTGGTTCATCCGTATCTGGTTCGTCTCCACGCTGGGCCGCTCATCCCCTCATTTTAGCCATGCACACCCCCGCGATCCCCAATATTTCTCCATTCCCTCCATCCCCATCCCTCTAACGCGCTTTTACTCCGCAGAATCCACCGGATGGGATTGGATGGGATGGGCCGGCAAACGGGTGGTGGTTGGAGCAGGAATCAGCCAAACCAGAACATCCAGAGAGGACGAGGGATAGCCAACGCGCAACACGTTCAACTGACTGGTTTTTTGACTCTTATTCTGCGTATCTTGTTTGCTCTGCACATCACTTCATGCCCCCAAAAAGATCCCTGTGGGCGCATACCATGTATGCAACGTAGGAAGAGACTAGACTCAGTTCGGCGCACTAAGCTCGTCTTCCCTGTCTTCAACCGGTTTCCAGTCCACACAACCCATGCTCATGCTACTTTGCCGTTTTGCCTTGTCAACTCTCTTTTGGCGGGTTTCCTCTCCGCCGCCACCAGCAGCCTAAATTCTGTGACTGATCATCTCACAGCAAATCACACGCCGCCCTCATCGCAAGGAATGGCCCATATTTCCGCGGTTGAACCCACAACGAGGATAGCCACATCCCGGCTGGTCGACTTGTTGTCTGCTCCGCTCTTCGTAACCTGGGGCATCCGGGGACGGGGGCGGGACGACGCCTGTCTGGGGCCCCAGAGGGTCACGTCTATTGCTGTTAAGCTCGGGATGCTAGGACTCGCGCCCATCTTGTAGCCAACGGACGGCCTGCTCCTGCTGCTAGCTTGCATATCACCAATCCATCAGACGTTGGAGGGAGGCAACCATACCACATCTGGCTGCCCCCCCCCCCCATTCTGTCAAGCTCGATCCCGCCTCCTTATTCTCCATTGCGTTTCTGCCATTGCACGATAACATTGACGGCCTCGATAACAAGTTGTGGTCACTAAGACGGCCGCCAAGTGGTCAAGCTCAGTTGAATCCTCAACAAGCTCGTCAAGCTCAGCGCGGCAAAGCTTTGCGCCCTTGGCTCGTTACCGAAATTCCTGCCGTCTGTCCCATCTGCATTTGACTGAAGTGCCATCCGGCTACCTTAGCTTGCCCAGCCCAGCCTCTGAGACTAGCCGAGCCATGCCACGGGTGCTTGTCGTACTCGTTGCTGCATTCCATCCGGTCAACTTCGATTACCACCCACCCACCCACACACACACACACACAACCCAAGAAAAATGCTTGCCATCCCCCAAGCTTTGCCGGATGCCTCCAATGAGGAGTCCTGGTCGGCTGATCGCAAAACCGAATAGGCCCCTCCGCCAAGGCCAAGCCATTCCTCTGCCGCCCCCGTCAGTCCAGCACCATTGGGCTTTCCTTCCGCTCCCTCTGAATGGTGGAAAATCCCATGGAAGATTTGCTGTCCGTCTTGGTACTCGTTGAGGCTCGATTTCCTGGGGATCAGAGACAGATGAACGGACGACCGAACTAGGGCCAGACAGGACGAAGCAGGGGTTGGGTTTGGACTGGACCAGGACTGGAATAGGCAGGGTGCACAGGAGCGATTGCGACCAAGGCTCCCAGACGGAGAAGCACGCAGAGTCGCAGGCTCTCCACATGTACTCCTCACACGCCAACTCTTCTCTAGGATACTTTTCTACGGCTATTTTGCTACATTCGGGATGGCAAGCTGCTTACTATCCTACCCGTGAGGGGTCCCCGGCTCCTACACCTGGGGAAGAGGAGACTTTCTGATCAGCGAGGAAAGGAAACCACCAGCCCGGGTTCCCGATATATCAGGGCGACCATCCCGCGCTCCTCATTGACCTTTTTCTTCTCTTCGTCGCTCCGTACTTCCATCTCCAGCCCATCAACACCCCTCCACCTCTTGAACTGATTCTCATTGGCTTGAGACTCGATCGCAAACGGGTGCCACGTCGCATTGGTCAACACTCTTACTCTCTCACTTGCAATAGCAACACCACCCCGCCAACGCCTGGCTTGTTGCAGAGGAACAACCGCCCAACATGACGCTGATGCAAAAAGCTCTCAAGAAGATTGTCCACAATGACGCCATGGACTCGGACCCCCCCGAGATCTACGGCTGGAGAGTCTTCGCCCTGGCTGCCTCTGCCTGTTTCGGTGCCATGTCTTTCGGTTGGGACAGTTCCGTCATCGGTGGTATCGTCGTGATGGAACCTTTCAAGAAGTAAGCTCACATCCTACTTAGACTCTCTTTCCCCGGGATCCGATAACTAACTCTTCATCACAGGGACTACGGCCTCGAAGATGCTAAGCCGGTCGAGACTGCCAACTTGACTGGTAACATCGTCTCCACCCTTCAAGCTGGTTGCTTCGTCGGCGCCCTTATCGCCTCACCCTTGACCGACAGATACGGCCGCAAGTGGTGCCTCGTCGGCATTGCTGCAGTCATCCTTCTCGGTGTCGTCCTCCAGGCTGTCTCTTCCGGAAGAATCGCTGCCATCTTCGTCGGTCGCTTCATCGCCGGTCTCGGTGTCGGTGCCGCCTCCAGTATCAACCCTCTCTACGTCTCCGAAAACGCGCCCCGTGCCATCCGTGGCCTCTTGACCGGTCTTTACCAGCTGTTCATCGTAACGGGTGGTATGATTGCCTTCTGGATCAACTACGGCTCCGACCTCAACTTCTCCGGCAAGGCCAAGTACATCTTACCGCTTGCCATCCAGGGTCTGCCCAGTCTCATGCTCCTCATTTGCATGCTCTTCTGCAACGAGTCGCCTAGATGGATGGCCCGCCAGGACAAGTGGGAAGAGGCCAAGAAGATCCTTGCCACCCTTCGCAACCTGCCCGAGAACCACCCCTACCTTGAGGACGAGTTCCAGGAAATCGTCGACCAGATCCACCACGAGAGACAGCTGATGGGTGATGCCACCTTCATGAAGATGCAGAAGGAGATGTGGACCGTCAAGGGAAACCGCAACCGTGCTCTCATTTCCATCTTCCTCATGATTTGCCAGCAGATGACGGGAACCAATGCCATCAACACATACGCCCCGACCATCTTCAAGAACCTCGGTATCCAGGGCCGCTCCACCGGTCTCTTCAGCACCGGTATCTACGGTATCGTCAAGGTCCTTGCTTGCATCTGCTTCCTTCTCTTCATGGCCGACTCTCTCGGTCGTCGTCGTTCGCTCCTCTGGACCTCCATTGCACAGGGCTGCTGCATGTTCTACATTGGCCTCTACGTCCGTATCTCCCCGCCTGTTGAGGGCCAGCCTGTCCCCGGTGCCGGCTACATGGCTCTGGTTTCGATCTTCCTGTTCGCCGCCTTCTTCCAGTTCGGTTGGGGTCCGGCTTGCTGGATTTACGCCTCCGAGATCCCGACTGCTCGTCTCCGTTCGCTCAACGTCGCCCTTGCCGCTGCCACGCAGTGGCTCTTCAACCTCATCGTCGCCCGCACTGTCCCCAACATGCTGGCCACCGTCGGTGCCCACGGTTACGGGTAAGTCATACATTTAGGGGAAACTTTCAAACGATCAATATGCTAACAAGACTACAGAACCTACCTCATCTTCGGAAGCTTCTGTTTCTCCATGTTCTTCTTCGTCTGGTTCTTCGTCCCTGAGACCAAGGGTGTCTCTCTGGAGCACATGGACGCGCTCTTCGGCGCCACCGAGTACGACTCGGAGAAGAGGCTGGCTGGCGACAATGCCAGCGACACCAAGTCGCCTGCCGAGGTCCAGATCGAGTCCACCAACCCCGCCCACGACCACGTCCGCAAGGAGGGTGCTTGAACGAGTCACTGGTTTACGAATGCGCATGTTTATAAGACCATACGTAATGTGGCAACTGGAAGTTGTAAGCGGTTCTGCATTTAGATGATATTTAGAACGAGGACGAGCTGCGCGGCAAGAAGTTGCGGCCTGCATGTGGTTGTTGGCTTTTGATACCTATCCTTTGAGCCTTGCGCTACGGCACAGGCCATGATGACAATTCAATACGATATTGAACCTGTACTTTTGAACTCGGCGGTGCCTAATTGCCATGGTGCGGAGTCTTGGATGACAGTTCGATTCAGGCTTCACTCTTACTTAGTCGAAGAGTGAGGGTAACATGGCAAGAACCTCAAAGACGGGTTCTTGTTGACAATTGCAGTTGAATGTCTCAACAACTCAGGAGCGTTTAAACGAGAAATCCAAACTGTAACCACAACAAGCAGAGTGCTCGCGATTCGAACAAGACTAATGTCTTAAAAAGTTGACCAGGTGTGACAATGGAGATGGCAAATCTTCACCATCTGTGTATTTTCTCAGGACATTTGAGGAAGTCGCCAAGGAGCAATAGGAAGTGGACGTTAGAGGTTGGAACTGCCCATCAAGAACAAGTGCGCCGGAATTCGCCAGATCAACCTTGAAAACCAGAATCCCTGTGTTAAGATTCTAGAGCTCCTCCCTCTTCTCAGCCGCTTCTGAACCCCGATAGCGTTCAGCCCCCAGGTCGATTATTCGACGAGGAGCCGCACATGTCGTTGACGCTAAACCAGTTCCTGTCGAAATCCGAAGGCTCACGCTGTTCTATCAGATGCCACGTTCAGCCACAAACACCCCCTTCATGCCCGCGCAATTATAGCTCCTTGTCTCTACTCAATCCCAACGTTTCCCCCATTACGGTCTTAGCATTATAATAATATAGTTGAAAGAGGTGAAAAATGCGTCCGTGATATTAGATCCAATATAGCGTGTCGGCGCTGTGTCCAGTATCTCTTGGCTCACCAAAGCCTTTTTGCAGAGAAAGCTTTAAACGATGATAACGGCCTACCCCTTTAGATACTCAATATAGCACCCTTATAAGTATGACTTCCTTACCTATGCTGTCCGCTCCGACTTGACGATATCTACGAGCTCCGTTTTTTATTTGAAAGATGAGGTTGTTCATCCCAGTCGTGGCCCTTTTAGGCCTCTTTGCTTTCCCGGCACAGGCCCAGAACCCTCACCACGCCATCGATCCAGCCATCTTCCCCGGCATCACCCCCAGCACCGAACTCGTATGGCACGATTGCTATACAGTCTTTAAATGTGCCCGGTTGACCGTAAGCCCGTGGCCCCCGTATCTATTCCCTTAACACTCCTCTGACACCTGCTCAGGTTCACGCCAAAGTCACCGACCCCCGCAAGCCCAAGAAAGTCAAGGGAAACTGCGGCCAGCCGACAGTCGACCTCGCCATCGTCAAGCTCCCCTATGTTCCCGCCGCCGGCGGCCCCCCGCACCAGGGCGCCGTGCACGTCTCCCTCGGCGGCTGGAGCTCGTCGTCCACCAACTTCCTCGTCCGCTTCGGCGAGGACTACGCCCCGTTGTTTGCGGGCTACGATCTCCTCGCTATCGGTACAGCCTCACCCTTTATCCCTTGCTCACAGCCAGGACTAACCCGTTACATCAGACTACCGTGGCTGGGGCTGGTCGACCCCCGCCTTCCGCTGTTTCGCCTCCGAGGACGAGCGCAAGCAGTTCGCGCTCTCCGAGCCGCAGCTCCTTGGCGCCGACGATGCGGCATACGCGGCCAGGGAGAAGCGCGCCGAAGAGTTTGCCAAGAAGTGCAAGAAGAACGGCGAGGACGTCGGGAGGTTCATGGGCACGTACTCCAGCGCCGTCGACCACTACACCGTCATGAGGGCCGAGAATCGTACCAAGATGGGGTTCTGGGGCATCTCGTCGGGCGCGCACCTGGGACAGACGATTGCGCAGGTGTACCCCGAGGTGGCCGACAAGTTTCTTTTTGACAGTAGGTTCCTTTCCTACGTGTTCTGCACCTGTAGCTTGCATCACGTTTTTGCTCACAAGTCTTGCAGGCCCCGCCCCCTCTTCCCTCGCGTACACCGTCACGTCCGCCCAGCCCTCCCAGATCAAGGACGCGGAACGCGGCCTCGAGGCCTTCTTTTACACATGCCTCAAGGCACCCGTAGGGAACTGCTCCTTCGCGGGGTCCTCTACGACGACGGCCGAGCTCCGGACACGCTACAGCGCTCTGGAGAAGAAGCTCAAGACCAGCCCCCTGAGCGTCGCCGGCACAGACAAAAAGTTCGACTGGTCGGCCCTCCACACGTTCCTCACCACCGCTCTCCACGGCCCCGGCTGGTTCCCCGTGCTGGGCGGCGTCTTCTCCGAGGTCGAAGCCGGCGCGGCGGGCGGCTGGACCGGGTACGTCATGACGAGCGTCCTCAACCAGCCTCCCGCGCCGCTGCCCCTCCTCACCGAAGACCCGCCCTTTGAAGGAATCGTAGCCGGCGTCTGCACCGACGAGGGGCGGCACCTGAAGGGCAAGGACGACTTCAAGTCCTACTTCAAATCCATGACGGACGGGGCGCCCAGCGTGGCGCCCATCTTCTCCGAGTGGCGCCTCGTCTGCTCCAACTGGAAGATCGACCCGGTCAACAGGCTCGAAGACACGTCCGGCGGTCCCGTCAAGACGCAGGGCAAGTTCGTGGTGCTCAACGGCGTCGGCGATCCGGCGAGCAGCCTCGAGGGGCCAAGGGCGTCGCGGCGCGGTTCTCGCCGAGTGTGCTTGTCAAGGATCTCGCTGCCGGGCACACGAGCTTCACGGCGAGCAGCAATTGCTTGTTCGGTGTCTTCTATAGCTTTTTCGTGTTGGGACAGATGCCGGCCGAGGGGACGACGTGTGGCGATGTGTTTGCCCCGCCGTTTGGAGTCCAGCTGCCTTCTGGCTTCTAGAACGTAGTTGGTTGTCTCGGCGTTGCTGCTGGGGGCATAACCGTCTCTCTTTGTCTTCTCCTATACATGGCTGGTATCTTGGCTCTAACCACTTGGGTTCACGATGTCCGTCATGATGACATGATCAGTCATATAACCAACGTTGATAATTTTGGCCATGCCTGGCAGCAACGCATTGTTTCCATGTGCTAGATATGGTCGAGATTTAGGTTAATTGATCAGGAGCATCAAGAGTTATGATGTACCGAAAGATGTAGTGCTTGATCGGGGATATCGAGTAGATAGAATCACCACGCATCCCAACAAGGTAAAAGGGTAAGCTTTGTAAAGCTCGCATTGTGGCCAGGTATATTGCTCAAGCACTCTGATGCCACCGTATATGGCTCGTCCAAAAACGCCAGAACCTTGACCGTTACATGGTTCGTCCCAAAAAAATGCCCAGTCGACCCCTCGACTTCCCGTGCCCATTGCAGGAGCCTTTTTCCCCTGTGGCCGAGTCACAACAAACATGAACCACCTGTGACGGAGAACCCCGCACGAACGCCTAGCATTGTTCTGCAATAGAACATGACTGATAACACCAAATAAAGAACGCTTGAAGAATTATGCACACGAATCGCAAAGAGACAGCTACTGGCCACCAGGCATTCCTGCACCGTCGAAAATGAGGAGTGGCCACTGGCCGACCGGAGCCGATACGGCAGCCATGTCGGCGACAGTTGACGCCTCCGTCACCGCACCCGGATCCCGAGATGCGCCACCCAAGGTAAGCAGGGCGTTGGCACTGTACCTGTCCTGGCTGTCGGCCATGGCTGCTGTCCAGTCATGCCAGGTGTTCCCTTGTGATGCCGATTGTCTCCATAGGAGCTCGGCCGCCGCTGCAGAGCCAGCGGGGTCCGCGACGTGTTGAGTGGCTTGGGATGCGAAGGCAATCAATGGGTTGGTCTCGGCCGAGTTGTCGTCCGCCGCGCTCGTGGCCTGCCCCGCAGACGTGTATGAGTAGCCGTTGTTCGTCTCAAAGGCTGTCGTCGACGGCACGTTGTTATTGTTGGACGGCTGCTCAGCATAGGCGAGGGACGGGTACGGAGTTGTTCCGTTTTGGGCCCCAGAGTCTGGGTAGAAGGCCTTGGCCGCCGTCTCGGCGGCGCTGACAGCCAGCGCTTGCGTTGTCGGGGGCTGAGATGAAAGCTGGAAGGGCGATGATTCTGCCGGGTCAGGCTTGATCGCCGGGGGAAGTGAAGAGTCCTTTTGTTTCTGATCGTGCTCGATCCAACTGATGGTCCTCTCGATGATGACGTTGATTTCGCTACTGATTCGAGCACCGGTTCCTGTAGATGAAATGATGAGCGCCCGGACTATTCCGCAATCCTCGACGTTGCTTACCTAGGAGCGACACTGTCGCATTGATGATCTCCATCCACCCCTTCATTTCTTCGCGAAGGGTGGCAATCTGATTGGGCGTCGCCTCGAATCTTCGTTCCCAGTGGGCAACCAAGGTGGTAAAGATGGCAGCACCATAAAGGGCCATCTGATACCACGTCGTGTCTAGGCACTTCAACTTGTCGAGGGCCTTGACGGCATTCAGCATGTGCGCAGCAGTTTCCTCGCAAATGCGGGCGTTCTCGAGAATCATCTTCCGGTCGCTGGTCATGGCCACCGACGGGTGACGCAGACAGAGACGGAATTCGAGGGCATACATTTGGATATACAAAGCGTACATCCGGCCTTCGTGCTCCGTCTGGCCAGGGTTGATCTGCAGAGATTCGGGTAGATTTTCCTTCCACAATCGAAGCTGCTCCTCGAGGGAGTCAACCACGTCGGCGTAGTTCTTAGGATCGCGCTTGACGCTGTATATGTTGGAGTACATCTCCATGAAGAGAGGCAGAATCTTGAAGCCAGCCAATCCAACGTGGTAGGTACAAGGTGTCGTGACGGACGGGTCTACCCCGTCTGGCGTGAGGGCCTCGTCAGGAATGGGCTCCGGGAAATCGACGTCGTACTCCTCGACCGTGATCGGCATCGGCCTTCCGAGACGTCCGTTCAACGTGACATAGACGAGGAGGATGGTCCACCATGTGCGCTTGCGGATCTCGTTCTCCAGATTTGTCGTCTCACCGGGCCCCTTCATGGCGCGGTGCATGTTCAAGTCGATGGCGCGATGGAAGGCAAAGTTGGTAACCATGGAGCCACATCCAGGTTTGGGGAAGCTGCGGCTATGTGCGCAAATCATGGCCATGGCCTGGACGGCCGCCACGGTTTGTGAAGACGCCAAGTCGAACATTTTGCTCAGGGCCCAGTGATAGTGCTTGTTGGACAGTTCGTTGAGCTGGGAGCGAGTCTCTTGCTGCTCCCAGTTCCGCACACCGTACTGAAAGTAGATTGTGGCGAAGACCATGTGCACCATGACTTGGTCAGGGATGCTCGGCTCGAAGTCGGGTTCATCGTACATGCGCGTCAGCTGGAGCAACGGTTAGGGCCATTCACTACTACATGCCGGGACCGATGCACTCACGATGTTCATAAAGGTAGGCTTGTGCAGAACGGGAAGGAAAGGCCATATCATGAGGAAGTACCACTCCGAGTAGGTGAAGGCGTCGCTCCTCGAGGGGAGCTCGATGTTGACGGGAGGATTCATGTTCATGCATGATTGGAGAAACGACTGGAGAGACTTGTTGTACAGGGGTTGCGAGGCTTTCGCATCGGGCACTGGCTCGTCCATATCAGGAGCGTCGAAGGATGTAACGTCAATCGTCATTCCTAGGATCGAGAGCTGGGTGCCCTTGATGGAGCTGAGAGGCGCGCTGTCGGACCCGACACCCAGATGGTTGTGAACGGGACGCGACTCGAGGGTCGACCGTGGGAACGAGCGGCTGCCCGCGGGCTTGTAGCTGTAGTTCTTGACCCAGACCGAGCCGACCTTGGTCCAGGCATCCTTCTCGGCAGGGTCCTCAATGGGGTTGCCCATGTGGTCGTAGGTGACGCCGGGAGGCGGGTAGTTTGTGCCGTAGGGGGACCAGTTGTAGGGCTTGACCTCGATTCCGTTGTTCTCCAGGAGCTTCTCGAGTTCGCGCACGTGGTTCATCATGTCCGTCTTCTCCCTCTCGAGCTCCTGAAGGTAACCTCTTCGTTCGGTTCGGCCGGTGACGCGATCGGTGACGAAGCATTCGAGGTTCTGGTTGATGCAGTGGGAGCATCCTTCGGGGAGAGCATCGCATCGGATCTTCCTAACCTGTTTTCGGCACAGTGGTCAGCATGGACGCAGGTAGAGGTTAAGGAAACCCCAGCGAATCGGACGCACCTTGCATCTGTCGCAGGCCTGTCCGGTCCTCGTGTAGGACGACAGGCGGTTCTTGACGACGGAAGAGAAGTCCTCCTGGCCACTTTTCTCGAGTCGCGGCAGCTTCACCTTGGCGGCGGCTGCAGGAGCGGCGTCGCCATCAGACGTAGCAGCAGCATCGCCAGCTTCCGCCGGTCGCTTCGGTGGGCGACCCGGCATGGTCTCTCTTCTCCCTCCCTCTCTTTCTCTCTCTCTCTCTCTCTCTCTCTTTCTCTCCTTCTCTCCTTTTCCCGCGTCAATTGCTGACGGTGTCGCAAAAAAATTTGGCGAAAGGGTTTACAAGGGATATACGGGGAAAAAAGTCCTGTCGCGCGACGGCAGTAGAAGGTCTATCGCGACGGGGTTTGCCGCCAACGTGGTTGGGTTATGGAGGTTGCCGCGTTTTTAGGAGAAATGACGGGGGGGAGCTTTGCGCTGCCGGGTTCCTTGGTGCCTTTGGGTGCTTTGGCTACCGAGTGCTTGAATTACCGCGAAAAACCTGGGGTGCCAAGGGGGGGGGGGGGGGGGGGGGCGCGGCACAAGGGACGAGAAATGGTCAAGGGAAGTGACAGGAAGGGGGAGGGGAACGGCTACAACGGACTGGGACCCGGCAGATAGGGTGTCTGGGATTATGGGATACGACGCCCAGGCCCAGGGCTCCAACTGGTGGTAAGGGTGTGTGTGTGTTTGTTGGCTCTGTTGGGCTGAGTAGGTACGGTAGGTAGGTAGGCAATTAGGTAAATGAAGAGTCTCCCAAACCAACAGGGAGGGATGGACGGCAACGGGGGCCCGGTTGATCGCAAACGCACCCAAGTGGGTTCCCAGCCTGTCGGGATGCGGGAGAGCGGTTCCAGTTCCAAAGCGCCTCTATGAACCTTTTTTTGCTTTCTTTTTCTTTCTTTTTGCCGTGCCGTGGGCGTACGTACCTACGCAGCCAAAAGGTAGAGATACCTAGGTATGCGCCGAGGAGATGGTCTAGAAGCCCGGGGGCCCGCTGAAACCTTGTTCGTCCAGCGACGCGTCAATTCCTTCAGGCGATATGAGACCCCTCAAAACATACCACAAGAGTTGGAAAGCGTGAGTGAGTGTGATGTTGCCAGCGACGAGAACGAGGCTGGCTGATGAAGAAAAAGATCTTGTTATCTCTCATCGACGTCACCGCTGGAAAGAATGTGATTGCGACGAAAGACTACTATGCCAGTTGGAACAATGCCTCAACTCAACAGACCGCGCACTCATCTTCGCAGTAGCCGAAGCCCAGCTCATCCGGATTCGAAAAAAAGTGCCCCGAACACGTCGAATCTTGTAGCGGGTGATGGCGAGGAGTCAGCGGACGATGTCAAACTACCTAATCGGCCGTCATGTGCTGTGTTTGTGTGCGTGCTGTGTGATGTCTCACAAGATGCCGGCCTGGGCCTTCGGCGCCGTGCCTCGAGGTCGAGATGGAAGTGAATAAAGACACCCATCTCACAGCATGCCAAGCCGCGCATAGCACCAGGTCGGATTGTGTTCGAGATGCCAAAGATCGAGGCGATGAGGTTTGATGAGTGATGGGTGGCGTTGCGTGGCGTCCGCCCGACAATAGACGGGAATCAAGGGTTCCAGCATTCCAAGCTTCTAGTGCCAGGGCCGTCAGACAGACTCGACCTACTAGTGCCGATACGACGTGGAGAAGCCTTGACATGTGGCATTGTTGTCTCTGCGCATGCCCTTTGCCTGGCCCTTTTGGGGGGGGAGTCTTGTCTTACACGAGGGGCGTTGGCCAGCCTGCCGGGGGCGACCTCTTTTGTGATATTTTGGTATCCTTTGTCCCCCCTGCCGCGAGCGTACGGGTCGAATTGCCAAGTCACGGCAATTTTCCTCTCGTTCCCTGTGTATGCAGCGGCAATCCCGCAGCTATGGCGAAGCCGTGGAGTGATGTATGTCGAATGCCGCGACGTTTTTGTGTTACTCCCGGATCGGGGATCGGCACCAAAACACCAAGACACCCTGCGATGGCTGATCATGAGGCGGCGAAGACTGGCAGAGAGATTTCCAACTCGCGTTTGCAGCCGCAGTGAGGGGCCCATCCTTGTCCATCCTTGACTGCCGGACGCGATATTGTGGCTCATCTCAGACCTGGCGGCAACTGAAGCACTCAAAGTACCTTGGTCAGACCCCGTCCAATGCTATAACACCAAATGTCTATTTCAGAGATTCTGCAGTGCTACTGGCTGCCAAGATGCCTGTACGTCGTCTTTTCGTCCCTTCAACTGGATGCTGAATCGCGGGATGGGCAATCGAACCAATATTGGAAACACGGCTCTTCATATTCCAAGATGTGCCGCGTCACTCCAGGGCTGTCGGTTTGGACGAGCCACCTGCCATAGAGGCGGATGCGTCTGAACCTGAAGCGTACCAACAAGTTGCATACCTGCGGCGTACGGACGGTTGGCATCCGATGAGATGGGTTGGTGGGGCCTGTGGCTCAGTCCTGAATAGGTAGGTAGGTAGGTAGGGCGTACTCCAACAACTTTATCAGCCTTGACTGTCAAGACATGGCCCGAATGCGGTGGTATCCCCTCCAAAAACTTTCGCAGTGAGGATCCATCCGTTGCGATCCGTCCACATGGTGGTGGGAGTAAGATCTATCTGCCGGGCTCGTCTCAGCTATCTGACTCATTTGGTTGACCTATTCGACAAGCCTGATACGTAATAAGGTTGAATTGTATAACTAACGAAAACGAAGTCAGTTTAAGAGTAGATAAACAATCACACAACCTACCTAGCTCCCTCTCTGGGGCTCTCTACACACCCCATCCGAAACCTTGATGCTCGTAGAAGCCACTACAGTGACGCGTGCTGCTAGAGCTCGCGAAGTGTAAACTAGTGGAGGCGTAGCTTTTTGCTCTACCTTCTTGGAATCAGGAAGTCATTCAATTTCTCCACAAAAGCAGGAAACCTCGAGCGGCTTACCAGGGTGACCAGCCTCGGGACCGAATCAGCCTTTGCATGTGCAAAACAACTGAGCCGGGCCGTATCGAGGATACGTAGGTTCGAGGTGCAAGACCAGACCGACTCCCCAGCTGAGCATCAGGCAAGGAGTAGCTTGAGTCGTGACAGTGGAATTACAGCATTTGCGGCGCGCAGAGTGGGGCCGTTTGCTCCGTCTGACGTGGTCAGCGAACCCCGCCATGCCCCTCCAAGGTGGTCTCGCCCGATAATTGCAGCAAACTTTGGGCGGGCGCGACTGAAATTCAATTCTTCCAAGTTTACCCCGCGATACCTCTCTCACCACAGCTTCAGCTCCCGCCCAACACCCAGCAAACGCCTCTCCTCCGTCTCTGCACCGCCCTTCCTCCCTCGTATTCGCCATCTCTCAGACGTCGAACTGAGCAGCTCGGTCAAAATGGCCTCCATCATCGAGACTATACCCATCGATCACGTGCCCGCAGACCACGCCGTCCACATCGCCTTCTTCAAGGACGTCCAGAACGCTGCATTCCTGCACCAGCAGCTTCTCGACCGCAACGCAGACTTTGAATATGCCCTGATTGATGCTTCCGTGGCCGTCTCACGAACCCACATCCTCGCCGCCGCGTTCAAGGCCGTGACCGCAAAGGTCGACGGCAGCCTCAAGACCCCCAACGTCCACTCCGAGCTGGTCGCTTCCCTGAGCTCCGCCAACAACGTACGTGATGCAATCTTGTGGTCCCCTTTCTGGCGCCGTTGGCATGTCTGACTTGACTCTGACCCTAGATCGCCGAGGCCTACCGCCGCTTCGGAATCAGCCCCTCCAGCAAGGACCTCATCGCCGTCAAGATCAGCTCCCCCGCCGCCGTGCCCTCCGCCGAAGATGTGGAACAGCATCTCAAGGAGAACTTCCAGGGCACGCCGGTGCCGTTCACGGACGAATCCATCGCGACGTCGACAGACTGGGCCAAGGTCCGCAAATACTACAAGCTCAACGGCCTCGCGTGGCTCGACGCAATCAAGGACGAAAAGGAACGAAGGGAGCAGCTGGAAACACTCGTGCTGGGAGCCATGGCATTGCGCACTGCCTAAGACGCAGACGGCCTCTGGCGTATGTCTGTGTCACTATAGAACGCAGCCCTATATGAAAAAATACTGTGACGTAAGTCGTCTCGTCATTGCTGCAGTGTTACAGTCGAAAGGTCTAACAACGCTCCTACCTAGGACCCCAACTCCACGCAACCCAAAGCGAATCGCATTTCAACACGGAAACGTCAAACAGCATCTTCCTACGTAGATACCCCAATAGCACCTTTGGCTCTCCTCACCAGCTCGCTCCACATGGCATCGCGCCCACTCCGCGTGCGCTGCACCGCGTCACGGTTCTCATGCGCTCTCCTCAACAGATACTTCATGCACTCGCCAGTCGACCCCCAGACAAGGTACTTGTAAGCCTCCACGGCCCGAGCCTTTGCCTGCCTTTGCTGCACGTCGCCCGTTTTTTTCGCAGAGACGAGCTCGCAGCTTATCTCGTCAGCCATGCCCTGAAGCTGCGCGAAAGCGATTTGGATCTTGGCCTCGCCGGCATCGCAAATGCCGCGGGCCCGCCTGACGGACTCGGCATTGTGTGATGCCAGCACCAAGCTGACAGGGGGCATCTCGAAATCTCCGTGCAGGACGTTGCCCCACTGCTTCCTGAGCAGGCTTTCTGCAATGCCGTCGTAGCAGGCGTCCGTGTCCGCCTTGGTGTCGTGGATGAGGTGTCTGGGGTCGGAACTGATGTATGCGCCGCGCACCAGCTTCACACCCAGCGTAAAGCCTTCGGTCTGTGCGGTCCGGAGGTGTCGCTGGAGGGTCTGTGGGGCCGACTTGAGGTAGGCCTGGTACGTGCCGTAAATGAGGGCCTGTCCGGGGACGGTGTTGTACTTGCGCATGTAGTTGAGGGTCCAGTCGTCGATGCCGGGTTGGAGGGACGCCTGTTCAGCGTCGAACAGCAGGCGGACGCCGCGCTCGGCGGCGAGGGAGCAGATGGAGTCGATGGCGTCGGCCATGGCTGCGGAAGGGGGTAGGCGCTCCGAGAGAGAATACAATGCTTGACGACCAGCTCCCGTGAACCTGCAATGGTGTTAGCAGCCGCACGTGGCGTTCCCGAGAGTCGGTCTTCTGAGAGTGACTTACTTGAGGGCGACGAAATCCCCAGGCTGCGCCAGCCTGACCGTCTGCATCGTCCCGCGAGCCCAGGGAGTGACCTCGTTGCGGACACACTCCTCAGCCTTTTCACCCTCGCCGCCGCACGCCGCCAGGTCCTTGGTCTGGGCCGTCGACAAGACGACCTCCTTCGCGTACCCCAAGATGACGCCCGTGAAGCCAATATCCTTGAGGCCGTCGATCGTCCGCCTGACCTCGGCCGGGGTCTCGCCCGCGCAGAACTGGGCGTAAAATGTGTTCTTCAGGAGGAACCGCAGCAGCGGGTTCTTGCCGGGGTCGAGGAGGGGGTTGGCGGTGTGCGCCAGGACGGACATGACCCAAAGCGAGGGCGGCAGGAGGACCGGCGACGAGGAGATTGTGGTCGTGAGCAGGGAGCGGAGGATCATGTGCAGGGGGAGGACCGAGAGGGGCGAGGGTGCGTGCATGGCGGGCGGCGATGAGGGCGTTGGTGCTGTTGAGGACGGCGAAGGTTCGAGGGCGGAGGATGCGGGTGATGATGTTGCGACGAGCAGTTGGTCGCTGGAGGAGGGTCTCTTGGTTGATGAGTGAATTGATCTTCTTGTCGCCATCGTAGACGTGTGGCTGCGAGGAGACTGTCTCGTTGGTGGTGATGCACAAAGTGGTAGAAAGGCGACATTGGATACCCTTCTAACGGAAAGTGCTGGATACTGCTGCTGATGCGGCGCAGAGACGAGAACTGCTCTGCGGGTGCTCGATAAGCCCGCCCTGTGCAACGGGCGAGCCATCTGAGTAGTTTGAGACACGACTAACACGCGGTGCGGGGGGGTTGAAGTGACCGGCAAGGTGGGCGATGACGATAAGAGGTTCAAATAGGTACGAAACAGCTATCTACTTGACTGAATAGAGAAATCCTTAGAGAGGGGAGGGTATTATACTTGACGATCCAAGCCATCGTCTCCATCTCGCCGGCCTCTGCGCGGCATCCGAGTCCACAGACGATCCAGCCGCCTTAAAGGGCTGTGTCGTTATCTAAAGCCAAGGGTCAATGAGCGATGCATGATGTATTGCTCTGCGGGCGGACAGATTAGCTAGCGATAGCTCCAGCATCTTCGATCAAAGCCCTCCCTGGTTATCTCTCCCACAGACCCGTCACGTGGGCGCATTGTGTCATTGGAGACAGCCGATTGTAGCCGGATGCGGATCGATCGGACGGACCCTTGGTTGGTGACATTGCGCAACGCTCATTGGCGAATTCGCTTGGGTCTGGCGATGCCCATGGGATCGGGGTAAGCCGCATAGCTCCGATGCGACCGGATTGCCCTGCCACTCACACATTCCAGAGTCGGTGACAAGCGTAGCTGTGATCAAGTACAGTACCAGTCTGGCCATCGGCTTCGAGAGGGCCGAAGGCGGAGTTCTGCGACATTCGTGTCTCGATCATGTCGGTCGCAGGACCGGCAGGGCCATGTTAAACCGTGTGGCGCCCAGGCGGATGGGCGCAATCCCTCTCGTAATGGCCAGGTCACGCGCCATCGTAGCAGCATAGCCGCAGGCATGGAATCGGCCCTTCCCCCGCCTTTCGCTCTTCTATCGTGGCCGATAATCCGGGGTGCGCGATTCGTGTCGCGTGTTTTTCGGCAACAAGGTCTCCGTCTTGGAAGATCCTGAATTAACCCTCCTGCGGCTGGTCGAGCTTCGTCGCCTTGTCGGATCCAAAGCGTCGGCGGACGAAATCGACATACCCAATGGGTCTGCCGCGGGCAAGACCAACGGCGTCTTGCATCCCGCCGTATACCAGTCCAAAGAGTAGCCCGTACCTTGCTGTACGAGCTGCGGTGGGGAGGGAGAAGCGGTCTATAGGGGGCAGTCATGTTAGCATGGATCACTGCGTGAGCGCATGAGACGAGAGTTGATGCGACATACTCCAGAGACTGAAGCCGCCTGCCACCGTCAAACTGGCCAAGACGGTGCTGAGGAGATCGGTCTTGCCGCGGTACCGGTCGACGGTGCTCTCGAGACCAAACGCCATCAAGGTCCAGAAACTGAGTCGGCTGCCCATGCGGAGACCCTCGCGGAGGCCACCCTGCATAGCGTGGTAGTTTTTGCTCTTGTGGTAGAGGTACCAGCCCGTCGTGGTCGTCGGCATCTTATGCGCGTGCTCGGCACGGAAACGCAGCTGCGCAGTCCGGCCGCCGTGAGCCAGGCCCAGAGTTGCTCCTATGCCGAAGCCAACCATGCCTGCAAGAGGGATACGAGCTGGCGTCGGTATCGACAAACGCGACTCGGATGGCTTTCGATCGAAGCTGAGGTTCTCGGCCATGGTGCTGGGCCGCCCGTTGCTGGCGGAGTCGGAATCGAGCGGGTGTCTTTGGGTCGAAGGATTTCCCCCAATGAACGTACAAACTCGCCAGATGGGTCTTCGAGGACTCGGCAAGATCCGGTGCGTTTTGGGTTTCTCGACGGAGGTGCTGTTGCGTTTGGAACGACGGCAAATGCAGCAAGCACTCTTGAATCAGTCCACGCGAAGAAATCAGCTTGGGCCTAGGACCGGTTTGGAGGAGCTTGGACGCAGCGCTCCTTCGGGCCCTCCTACCCCGGTCAAGGTAGAACACGCCGTCATGTGACTTCGCATTGGGTAGAGTGCAAAAAGCGCCCCGCTCCCGCGACCCACGCGGGGCTGCCTGGCCGATCCGCGCCGTCACCCGCAATTGCTTGTTCATCTCTTCTTTGCCAGCCGACGACCCCTCCAGTTGCGATACTGTCTTTGGCTTGCGACAACCGGTACTAGACCCCAAAACCGAGCGCAACCAAACCAAAAATCTCTTTGGGATCCTCTCGATAGCGACAACAAATTTCGCCAAAATGGTATGAGCATCCCAGGCTCCTTGGCCTCCGGGCATACCAGCCAACGAAGCTGACCCCCTCGCAGCAGATCGACGACACCTTCTTCTCGGTGCGATTCAAGTATGGCGCGCACACCATCCTCATGTTCGTCGATGGCCAGCAGAAGTTCTCCGAGATTACGACCTCGTTGCTGGAGGTGCTACGCGACAGATTTCCCGATGGCCTCACAATCAGTCACACCTCTCCCGAGACGACAGCACTCCCAGAGGGCGATGTGCAACTGGCTTATGCGCTGCCTGTGAATGCGACCGACCTGACACAAGGATGGAAGAACATCAAGGCCAGCGACAACGACATCGCGGTCGCCAGAGGACTGAAGGACAATTGCGTGGTGGCGTTTTCCTTTGACACGGATGAGCCCGAGTTCCTGGTCGACGTGCCGAGTCTGGACGAGGAAATGGAGGACGAGGAGGGCATGGGATCCGATGCATGATCGTGTACGAGACTTTGGCATTGATGCATGGCGTTATGGCGAAGGGAATCACGATACTATGGATTGCCTCCCTCACATGCATATAGAGGCGGCTGCATGGATGGAGGCTGGCTACGAGAACATTAGTCTTGCTTAATGCGCATCTTGATATGCTAGGCATAGGATTGAACAAGTGCGTGAGGCCCTAGTCGTCTGGGTAACGGCAGAAATGGGCGACTGCATTTGAGGGTGGCCCAGTCACAAATACTTGGTCCATCTCACGAACGACTCTTGAATCAGCAAAACATCACGGATACACCTAGTCCTCGAGAGTTTGTGTGGCTTTCACACGAATGAGGAAACAATGGTTCTAAACGTGACAACTGAAGGACTTGGATGCATTCGTCAATTTCACATTTTCACCAGTGCCTGGAATCACCAAACAGTCCAGGACAGTGTCTGAGCCAGATGACGTCGGTGGTCTGGACCGAACCATCTCCAGAAACAGGGGCTTTTCTCGTCCCCACCGTATCCCGGTCACAGTGCTGAATGCAGATGACGCTCACTGTACCCTTTTGGACCCCTTTTCCACACATGCCCCCCCGTCTCCATGTCACCCCAGAGCGAAATTGCGACGAAGGGGCCCCCGAGGTGGCAGTTTTTCTGTCAACAACACGACACCGACTACTTTGGCTTCAATCCTCGCAAAAAGGAGGCCCGACACATACACAGCTGCAGAGTCGCCCGACTTCTGCCCATGCTGCCGTCTACATGTCCCACGTGGCCCTCCTCCGCCATGGCCTCCGCCTCCTGCTGCCACTGGCGGTGATTTCAACATTTTACCTCTATCTTTATCCCGTTTTTCTTGGATGTGCTTTCCCCGTGCCCCCGGCCGGCCGTGCATCTTCCGGTAGTCCGAGCGAAGTCAACGTCGCAGACACCAAATTCGCTGCCTTCCTCGAAGCAGCGCGACACCATGTTGCTCTTCCGATCCCCCTTCGATCGAGCGACGCCCGCCCCGCGCCTTTCCGCCTGCTCGCGCTCGGCGACCCTCAACTCGAAGGCGACACCTCTATCCGAAAGCACAACGGTCCGGTCTTCCCTCACGTAAGAAGTTTGTGGTCGCACGTGACCTTCCAGTCGAGCCACTCGCTGCGCCAGCGCATCCGTCACTCTCTGCACGACGTGATCGATGTGTTCCTGGAGGACGTCTTTGACGAGCTCGAGTCGGTTCGCAAGCGTATAGACCTGTTTGGTAACGACTTTTACCTCGCACATATCTTCCGGACGGTACACTGGTGGACTCGTCCTACCCACGTCACGGTGCTTGGCGACTTGCTGGGCAGCCAATGGATCGGTATTGAAGAGTTCCGGCGTCGCGGCCGCCGGTACTGGAACCGTGTGGTGCGAGGGGCCGAGAAGGTTCCTGACGAAGCGGCGGCGTACCCGGCTTTGGAGTATGACCTCACAGACTACCTGTCGGCGTCTGGCGAGCCTTCTCCCGAGTGGTCGCGCCGTGTCATCAACGTGGCCGGCAACCACGACATTGGTTACGCCGGCGACATCAACCAGGACCGCTTCGGACGCTTTGAGCGTCTCTTTGGCAAGGCCAACTACGAGCTGCGCTTCGAGCTTCCTGTCCATGACCCGAAACTCAACGCCACCCTTGTGGACGACGAGAAAAACCCCGAGTCTGATCGTCTTCCGCCCGAAATCCGCGTCATTGTGCTGAACGACATGAACCTGGATACTCCAGCCAAGGATACGTCGTTGCAGGATGCCACCTATGCCTTCATCAACGCCGTCATCGAGACCTCGGCGGCGGTCGAATACAGCGGTCATTTCACTGTCGTGCTGACCCACATCCCATTGTACAAGCCCGAGGGGGTTTGCGTGGACGCCCCCTTTTTTGACTTCCACGGCGACCACGACGGTGGCGGAGTTAAGGAGCAGAACCTGCTGTCGGCCGACGCCAGCAAGGGCTTCTTGGAGGGCATCTTTGGCATGAGCGGTAACACAGACGCCCCCGGCAACGGCAGGGGTCGCCACGGCGTCATCCTGAACGGTCACGATCACGAGGGCTGTGACACGTTCCACTACATCAATCAGACGGACGGAGGCGAGAACGGCGACCGCGCCTGGCAGGTTGAGCGGTGGGCGACGGCGAAAGGCCGAGGCGCCGTCGGTGCCCCCGGTGTGCCAGGCTTGAGGGAGATCACTGTCAGGAGTATGATGGGCGACTTTGGCGGCAACGCTGGTCTGCTCAGCGCCTGGTTCGACGAGTCCACATGGAATTGGAAGTTCGAGTATGCAACGTGCGCTCTGGGTACACAGCACCTGTGGTGGCTCGTTCACATTGTGGACCTCATAACGGTCGTTGCTGTTGTCGCCTACGTTGTCTTGTCCATGTTGGAGGCAAGCAAGCAGGGACAGATTGCCGTGGCACCGTCGAGTGTGGAGGAGAAGAAGCTGATCCAAAATAGGGAGGCCAAGTCATCATAATATTGTTGCTCAAATACCCGGCAGGGAACTGCCTTGTCTCAGTTCTAGTATACAATTTCATTTTGTAGCATTATTCGCGTCAATTTGTAACAATTTCCAAGCGGCATTCTCTACGGGCGCCTCATTCTCCTCTGTCGCCGTGACAACAGGTGTCGAGCCGATGATTGCATCGTTGCCTACAAATTGCGAGGCACTCCCGTCACTCTGAACATATTGTGCTCCCTCAGATCTATCTAGAGACATGGGCCGTCGCGGGTACCCGAGCTCTCTCCCAAGTCCATTGTCTAGGATCTCGCCGTCTCGAGGCAACACAACCACTGCCACACCGGGCAACCCCATTGCGGACAGCCTGCAGAGGGCGGCACACCACCGCGACGAGGGCAATAGACAATTTCATTGCCTTACGGTCTGCTAGTTGCGGGTGGCAATGTCGCCCAGAGCCTTCAGATTGCGTTGCGTGCCTGACAGGCTGCGTAGTGTCTCGCGCCAAGCGCACCGCAAGTCCTACCATTCATGTGCCCAAGCACAACCAGTTGTGAGGCCCACAAGCTCTCCGGGCCTCAGCCAAAAGAACAAGGACAGTTGTGTATGCCATGGAGGGATGGAAGTGTAATGTCAGCGCATACCAACCGGACATTTGCTCCAAAGTCCCAAGTGCCATTGATGGCGGTTGAACGCGTCCCCATCACGGTCGCACCGAAGGGGGTTTCACGGCGATCGGAAATGTTCTGTCGCATGCACATGCGCATGCTCGTACGGCCTTGTCCTTCCTGTCCCTTACTGTCCACCGGTTGCCCTGTATACCGGGAACGAGAAACGAAAGATGCGATCATGGGGTTCTATAAGTGTTGCGCCGTTGCTGCCCCGCCATATATGTTTTGGTCATACCCGTACCACCCCATCCCCGCGGCCCAGGATAAACCAATTAGGCCTATTGACCGTCTGTGACGCAAACGCCCTGATTTCACTTGCGGTTATCGACGCCTTGAAAGGCGCTCATTCGAGTTTGGGGCCATTGTGACTTGGCGAGGGCTACGGATACCATCATCGTCTCCTCAGGGCAGTGCTCATCACGAGGTCTCGGAGCTGGTTTGGCGTACGGTTACCGACTGCGGAAGCAAACATTGAAGCAGATGACATCTGTCTGTGCTGCTTAGCATCAGCGGGCTGAACAAGGACAAGAAGGTGACCGTCCTGTTTGATAGTCAAGAGCCGAGCCGACTATATGAACCCAAGGGACGACGAACATGATCTCCTGAGAAAAACACATACCTCAAGATCTCAACCATTGCTACAATACCACGATAACACCACAGGTCAAATCCTGTTAAATCAAATCACAATAGGTCATTCTATCCTGAACCTTGTGCTTTCAAAAAGAACACAATACTGTCTCTCACAATGCGCTTCACCCAGCTCACACTCTTCACCCTCCTCACGGCACACGGCCTCGCCGCGCCAGCCACCCAGAAACCAGACGAAAACTCGTTCGCCAAGGAGAGTGGCTCCTCCATCGCCGCGGGCAAGACACCGCCCTTCAACCCAAATTGGCACTACTGCCAGACAAAGTGCGATTGCGCAAAGAGATTCGACAAGAGCACGCAGGGAGAAGAGTGAGTGAGAATCCAGATGCAGACACCTACCTCGTCGCGGTATCCGGGTGAATTGACGACCAGCTGGCTGACGTTAGGACAGTCTCTTTCAGTGCATCACCGATCCCAACTGTGAGCAGTGTGCGAGGAACGGCATGACCCCTTCCGACGGTTGAGCAGATTCTCGCGGGGTGGGTAGAAGGAGGCTTAGAGAGGGGCAATTGATGCGACCTCCGTAGAAGTCTGGATATGTATGAGTGGGAATGATGGTTCAGATCGATCGGCTCGCTTACTGGACAAGGTTCACGCTCATATCGAACCCAGATAGTGTTAGGAAGGCGAACGTCGGGGGCTAGACACAAACGGTTGGACATCGAGAGACAAAGATGATACTGGTTTGCCCATGTATGAATAGATGATACCCAGCAGAATCCAGCAACATGCGGCTGACTCACAAAACACCCCCATACAGCACTTCAAATGAAAAACTCACAGACATTTCATTGCATTGCATTGTTACTAGAATTCGTGTTTTGAGAGATGAAACTGTCTGGTCGAACCACACTTCTTCTCCATATGGTGTCTATGGTAGGGTAGTATACAAAATTTCGTACATACGCAGACCCACGCGTCGTCAAGTCTATATACAAGGTGAGGCGCCTCCTAGCCGCCCAAGCCCGCCTTGATAATACAAATACAGATAGTTTTGGTAAGAGGAGCGAAAAAAGTGGTGGTGGTGGTATACTGCACGGATGGTGCTCATTAGACCGGGGTTGGTGTGAAGCGAAGCACCCCCTTTCTTTACTGCTTCTTGTTGGCGTCGTCACCCTTGACGAACCACCCGCTGAAGGAGCCCATCATGTTCTGCATGGCCTCCTGCTGGGCCTTCTCCTGCATGGCGGCCTCCTCCTTGAGCCACTTCTCACCGTTTTCACGGATCTCCTTCTCGAGCAGCTCGTAGTTGCGCTGACCGCGCTCGCGCGCAATGTCCTGGAGCATCTTGCCCTGAGCGAGAGCCTCGTGGGCGTTCGGCTCGCCGTCAGGGGACACCATCAGGCTCATGTTGGAGGGCTTGAGGCCGAGCATGCCACCGAGCAGGCTCATGCCGGAAGGCGCCTTCTTCTTCTTGGCCTCGACCTGCTTGTTGAATTCGGCTCGCGCGATAGCCTCACGGCGGGCAAATTCGGTGGGGATGTGCTTGCCCTCAAAGGACTTGAGAACCTTGCGAACATCGCCATACTGCATCGTGTGAATGTACTCGAGGAACGGGATGAGGCTGACAAGCTCCTTGTCCTTGGAGTCGCCCGTCCACTTGGGCAGTACGATAGCGTTCTCGGGCTGGTTCTGGACGTGCTTTTCGCTGGTATCGAGGATGATGACCTTGGACAGATCACGGTTCAGGTAGGAAAGATCCTGTATGCAAGTTAACGTCGGCGGCTCGCCCAACTTGGGAGGGGTAGATTACGGACCTTGACAACCTCTCCATCCTTGTACTTTGTCGCCTCGCGGTAGAGCGGCCACATGATGAAGCGGAAAGGGTCGAGCTTCCTCACGAGGGGCTCGCCGATGGCGAAGGGCACACTGGTGAAGAGGACCAGCTCGTAGTACTGGCTGAGGTACCGCAGGAAGTAATCGACGCCGGGCCGCTTGGCTACTCTCCAGCCGTGCTCGCGAGTCCATTCGCTGTGAACGAGCATGTCCTCCAGACTGATGCACAGAGTGTAGGGACGCTCGAAAGACGGGTCAGGGTCGGGCAGAAGCTTCTCAAAGGCAGGCTCTTGGTAGTAGTTCATGAAGTCGCCCGTACGAGCGGTGACTCTGTTCCACCAAGCGCCAAAACCCCAGCCGTTCGGGGCCGTCTCGGCGTGTCTTGCCTCCTCTTCCTTGTCGTCCCATTCGCGTCCAAGGTAGAGCATACCGGCAGCGCCGAAGCCGACAAAAGCAAGGAACATGCGGCTTGCGAGCTGCTGGCGCTTTCTGTCCGTTGATGAAACGTACGCAGAGTCGGGAAGCTCTCCACGGCCACGTCCGCCGCCCTGAGCAACAGCATCCTCCTCGGCGATAGCAGCAAGCGCCGCCTTGTTGGTCGCGCCGGACATCTCGTAGGCGAGGGTGGATGGAATACCCTGGGTGAGGTCGGGCAGAGGACCTGTAGGCCCGGTCTGTTCAGGAGCTTGGGTCGCATCGGCGGCATCTGACTTGGCGTCGGGTTTGGGTGTCTTGGTCGAAGAAGTTTTTGATGACGCTTCGGCAGCCTCCTCGTATGCTGCTTGGTAGTCGGCGCTTGACGAAGCCGGCGTCTCGCCTGGCGTCGGCTCGGCAGGCTTCTGCTGATCAGTAGGTTTCCCCGAAGAGGGGTCCTTGGGCTTGTTGTCCTGTGCGAAACCTCTGCTCCATGCCGAAGCTCGGAATTGGGGTCTCGCAGCCGGTGTTGCGACGGAACGGTAGAGCTGCGCCGCAGTCGGCTGCAGACGCGCGATCCGAGCTGCCCTCGACAGCATGGCGTTTCAAAGGCCAAAGTGGTGTTCTAATTGTACAAGGAGCCCGGTACCTGGTGTTGCTTTCGATGCCGAGTCGAAAGGGCGAGTGGGAATTGGATGCGCCAGCTGACAAGAATTGGCTGGTGCTGGCGGAACACTGAGCAAGGTCGAGGTGGAGTGGACTTGGAGATATTCCTGACGAAGGCACTAGAAATTTTCGAAGAGAAAGCACCACCTCACATCTTTTGGCAGGGAACGACGGGCTGGGGGGGCCAGACAAGTAGCACGGTGCACGGCTACGCACCTTAGGTACCTCACCTCGACAGCTTCTGGCGGCGCCGGTGCTGTGCCACCTTGAAAGTTCAAGTGCGAAGACCCACTTGTGAGCAAGTTGAGCTTCAATTGGATCCGGGGACACTGAGCAGAGCTTGCCCGTCTGCTACCGAACATCTCCCGGTCTCCCTCCGGAAGCCACTACAGCGCCTTCCAGTGGCAGTACGTACCTCGGAGAGTTCGTACAGTGCCAACGTCAGGGTGTGAACTGGCTTCGTACGGCGCTCGTACTCTCCAATGAAGTCATGCTTGACGCATATGCCGTTCCACCTTGGACCTATCCTCAGCTGATTGGCCCTGGTGAATCAGGCTTAGTCAACTGCCCACACACGGCATTCTAGGGAATCGGCTCACGTGCGAACCTTGTCCGAGTGGTGCTGTCCGTACTGTGGTCGCAGCGACCGATCCCCCCTCGCTCGCTGTCCGGCAGTGACCTTTGTGTATGAGGTGCTTGCCATCCGTCCAGTGCAACTACTCCCCTCTCTCAGTGTGTGTTCCATCATTAAACTGCGCCCAACCCCCGATAACCTCCACCCGTAACTTCTCCTCCCTCTGCTGCAAATCCGAAGAACAAGATTCCTCAATCGACACAATCGCTCAACCACCGTGGCATCTTGCGACGTTCCGACTACTCCGCCCAACTCAACCACAGTTATAGCCCACACAGTCACACTCCACACACGCATACATCGTTAACATGGCTGTCGCGCGTGGTGAATTCTAGAGGGTGGTCCCCAAGTTCGCTGCATCGATCACAATGGGACCACCCTCTGTGATTCTCTGCTTCCTTCGAGACTATCTGTCCATCTGCTTCGCCCAAGCCTAAAACCTCAACACAAAGCTATTGAAATCTCTGCACATAGCCACTAGATACCCCCCTTGCGACAAAGTACCCCGCCACCCCGCCACTGCCGCCGTGTCTCCCGACGAAGACCACGAATACTACGAATACCTTCAACGACGCAGTAGAACTGCCGGGGAAAATTCTGAAACTCCGGAAAGAGTTCAGCCTCACATAGTCACAACACCAGCCATTGATAAAGAACGTCCAGTACCGCCATGATGGTTCGCCGTAGCAAGATCTCGCGCGCTGCCGGCCCGTCACTCGACCCGACGCCGATCGCCTCTACCCTTACAACTCCCCTGAGTTCGGCCTACCCATCGACGTATGCTTCCGAAGCCGAGCTTGATGCCCTCGGGGAGAGCATGGACTCTCTCACCTTGAGCGAGAGGAGAGCGGCCAAGAAGCGAGCAAAGCCTTTTGCTTTTATGGCGCTGCCCTCTGAATTGCGGCTCAAGATTTACGAATATTACTTCGAGGGTGGCGGCGGAGTGGTCGATCTCGACCCGGATAATTACAAGAGCTTTCACAAGAAGCTCGGAATCCAACGGACGTGCCGCACCATCTACCACGAAGTCTCTCACTACTTTTACAGCAGCCGCTCGTTCCGCATCTTCCCCACTCACCCGGGCAAGTACTTCAAGACCAAGAAGCCTCTTCTGGCCCGCCTCAAGCCGAGCTCACGATCTTTGATCACATCGCTGGAGCTCCGCCTCGGTCCCGGTTGGTCCAAGCCCCCTCGAGGATGGGTGGTCACTCCCGCTCTTGGCCTGAATGAGTGCGTCAACGTCCGCCGTCTGACGGTCATGGTCGAGTGCGACCCCAGTGATGGTATTTTCAATGGTTACCGTCGTTCAGACGGTTTCTACGAAGGCTTCAGCCAATCTCTCCTCACAGAGGTATTGAACGAAATGCCCTGGTGTGAAACTGTCACCTTTGATGCATACTCGAGTGTCAAGAAGTCGGGCCCGATGATGCGAGGACTACTCGATGTGACTGCGGCAAATAACCGCAAGATCAGATGGGGCCCCGAGAGAGGTTGGACCGATACCCCCGACGAAGAGGATAAGGCCAGCAATCTGGTGCTGGTGCCTCCGGCGTCGGAGTTCAATACGTCAAGCATGGGCGTACTTGTAATGGCGTAAGGACACGGTGGAAATCCATTTTGGTCGCTTTTGGGCTCTCGCTTTTCCTTTCGACGCAATTGCAACTTTGGGCTCGGGTTTTCGGTAATGGGAAAGGATGGAACGCAACGCAACGAGGGCTACGGGGTTTTGATTCGAAATCATCGCAGCGGTCAAATCGACTGATCCCGCTCTTCTCTCTTGCGACGAGACTGTAATACTAGCATGACGAGAAATGAAAGATACGGACATCAAGCACATCTGAATCATCTTAAAATTCTGCCGTCGTCCTCGATTGAGGCTTGGAATGATTGACTGCACATCTCTAGGAAGCCAAAGCCCGGAACACCCATCACCCCGAATGTACTACGAACGTCTCTTCCCCGCTGCGTCACCCATTGCTTCTTGTTGGTCACACTTCCCTAACGGTTGGCCCCTCACGCGACCTGGGACATCTACCTTCAGCCCAGCATTGACTCTCGCTACCCCGCGTTTTTAGCCCCCCTGCCGATAACGTTCAGCAAAACAAAGCGCAGTGGTTGGTCTGCCGCGCAACCTGCAACATCCATGCTGAAGCTGTGTTTAGTTTCGAGACCGTTCCCCTCGTTCGCTGGGCTGTCACACCACTCAAGACACGACGAAGGAGGAAAAGCTTCCCCGCCATTTCGGGAGTGGACTGTGCGGGCATTGCCTGGGCTCTGGTTCCCAGGGGTTCAGAGGCCCGAGCTTTCCCAGAACCGGGGCCCGGACGCCGACATACCGACGCCCGGCCCCACCATCCCACCCTTCCCAAGCGCAGCCCAGCGCGGCAAGGCCTGGTGGATTGACGCTTTCCAAATTTTTGGTTTTGCATCTGCTCTGCCGCGCAGCCTCGCTACGTTTCGCAACATCTGCACCACAGCTCTCTCTGCACACCCCGAGAATTCCCTCGCGCTTTGTCGACACACCTCACCTTGACCCATTTGTATACTACACGGCGACTGACCGCTGACGACCCTAAAAATGCCTCTCGACACTTCGACTTACTCCATGGCGCTGCTGCGCGTTGATGGCCGCCGATGGAACGAGCTCCGACGGCTGCACGCCCAGATCCGGACACAGGAAGCCGCCGACGGCTCCAGCTACCTCGAGATGGGACACACCAAGGTCATGTGCGTCGTGACGGGACCGGCCGAGCCCCAGCGCCGCGGAGGTGCGGGCGGTCAGACCAAGGAGGCTGCTGTCACCGTCAACCTCGTCGTCGCCGGGTTCAGCTCCGTCGACCGCAAGAAGCGGGGCCGCAACGACAAGTGAGTGCATTCCAGAATGCTTATCGATGTAGTTGTCGTATCATGCCCACTAACCAATGGGCAATTTGCAGGCGAACCCAGGAGCTCGAGGCTACCATTGCCAAGGCCGTCTCAGCGAACCTCCACACCCACCTCTTTCCCCACAGCAGCATATCCATTTCCCTCCACGTGCTGTCGCAAGACGGTTCTCTGCTGGCGGCTCTTCTCAACGCTTCGACACTTGCCCTCATTGATGCGGGTATCCCCATGACCGACTACATTGCCGCATGCACGGCGGGTTCGACGTCGACATACGCCGCCGCCGACGATGGCGCAGATCCCTTGCTGGATCTCAACACACAGGAGGAGCAGGAGCTACCATACATGACGGTGGGAACTCTGGGATTGACGGATCGCGTTGCCGTGTTGGTCTGTGAGAGCCGTGTCCAGGTCAGCCGTTTAGAAGGCATGCTTGCTGTTGGCGTGGACGGATGCAAACAGGTGCGACAGTTCATGGACCGCGTCGTCAAGGAGAAGGGTCGTCAGATGGTGCAAGAAGGCGCGGTGGAGAGAGGCACTGGCTTGGACTTGGAGATGGAATCATGAGATGTCACGGTCACGGACTGCGTCAACCACAGGAGCTGGGCGGTGGTATCGATAATGGTCAGATTTCCTATCGCATTACTATTGTACAACCACAGCTAACCATCCATACAGAATTCGAAATTCAAGGAAGGAAGTTTACAGCTCGTCGTGAGCAGCAGGAGCCTCGGAGGACGTCTCCTTGGGCGCTTCAGTCTCCGGTTCAGGGGTTGGCTCCGTAGCTGCAGTGGAGGCGGTGCTCTCAGTAGACTCGGTCTTGACCTCCTCAACGACGAGGCCTTCGGGGAGCTTCTTCTTGGCGCCCTCGCCCATACGAATGGCATCAACCCAGCTCTCGACACTCGCAACACCGAAGTCACCTTCGTAGCGTCTCCACCAACCACGGCGGGCGTTTACAGCAACGATCTCAATGTCACCAGTAAGACCAAGACCCTTCGTAACAGTAGAAGCGGCGGTGTTGTCGTTGGGGACGGAGAAGAAGGGAAAGATCTTGCGCTGGTTCTGAGCGTACTTGTGAACGAGCTCCGACAGGCTGGTGAGAGCCTTCTCAGCCTTTTCGTTCTCCTTGGAAGAAACGAAGGCCAAGACGCAGGTGTGGGACTTGGCGCTGAGGCACTCGGCCTGGAGCTTCTCGGGGGTTTCGGCGACGGGCAGAGGAGGAATGACGGCAGAGGCGGCTTGCTTAGCGGAGGGGGACTCGGTAGGGGTCTCGGACTCGGGGGTGGCCTCCTCGGCGGCAGTACTGGTGCTCGACTTGGCGGATGCGGGCTTGCTCTTCTCAGCCTTCTTCTCAGTCTTCTTGTCGGCCTTCTTGTCGGCCTTTTTCTTGTCACCGTTAGGCGCAGGGTCCGGGTTCGGAGAAGCGACCTGGGAAATGAAAGAAACCAGACCGTCCTTCTTCAGCTCTCCATCGTAGACGATAGGCTCCTTGTCGCCACCGGGCAGAAGCACCAGAGTGGGGAATGACTTGACTCCAAACTTCTCAACCGCCTTTGCCTCCTTGCTGCGCACCTGACCGACCGTGACTGCGTCGAGGAAGTCAATGGCGACGCTGCGCAGGAGAGCGCTGGTGGTACCCTTCTCGGTGAAAAGGATGGCCTTGGGCTTGTCTCCCTCGAGGAACGAATCGAGGTCCTTGTCGGTGACTCGCTTGACGTGGTTGTTAATCTTGTCGACGACGGCTTCGACAATGCCAGTGGCGGTTCGCGGGCCTTGGTAGTCCTCGACGACGGGCTTACCGGGCTTCTTGCCCGGCCTCACGATTTTGAGGGTGGGGAAACCCTGAACACCAAACTGGCCGCATAGTGGCTTGTTGGCATCATCGTCACAATCGATGGCGGCGACCTTGGCCAGTCCATCGAGGTTCTTGGCTGCCTTTTCGTAAGCAGGCTTGAGGTTCTGGCAGTGTCCGCACCACGGGGCGTAGAACTCGACAATCTGTAGGCAAAATACGAGTCAGTGACACCCGATTTGAGCTAGCATAGCTCCTGGTTGGCGTACCGAGGTGTAGTTGGACTTTGCGATTAGGGTATCGTAGTTTTTGGCATCCACCTGGAGCACGGCAGAGCTCTTCGGGTACATGCCTGCCTGGGCACCGGGCAAAGCCGAGAGGACGGCAGCGCCAGCGGCGAGCAGAGTGGGGTGATGCATCGCGGTGGATATAGAGTTAAGCAGTGTGTGGGGTGGGAAAGGTGAGTGAATGCAGCAGGTGATGAGACGCCACCACGGACAATGTTTGGGTTGCAGTGAGTGAGAGAGGAAAAGGGAGAAGAAAGGGAGGAGGGAAACAGCGGCGAAAAGGCGTGAGAATAAGGTCAGAGCATGGAGCAGGGTTCAGACAGGTGAGAAAACATCCGAGTACTCTGCATTTATGGACCAAGGAATTGGGGGCCCTGGTGAAGACAAATCGAGAAAACTGTCTAGTTGGCTTCTTTCCTGTACAAAAAGGCCAGCGTGGAACTGTGAGACGCGAACCCCTCACCTCTGTCCTCAATTTGTACTGTGAATGGAACCGTGGAAATTTCCAGTCAATCGAATCGAAGCATTTCGTTTGCTCATCAGCCACATACCCCACACGAGCTTGGAGAGCTTGAGCCACATGCCCTGGCAATGGTGCAGGTACCCAACTGTCAGCTGCAAAGGTTGATGTGGCGCAGCTGTGCCCGAGCAGAAGGTACATCACGCAAGGTACCTAATGACCTTTCATCCCCCGCTGTGATGAGCGCATGTGGGGAAACTTGACGCTGCGGTAAGGCTTCCAAGATACGAATTGCATGTCTCCAACCTCTTCGTGTTGCAGCACTCGTCGCATATTCCGACCCCTTTGCGCCCGTGAGCTGCCACACAGCAAGTTTTTTTCTCTTTCTTTTCGCCTTCCCAGTCCAAGGCCGAGCCCGACGCAGCTTCAACATCGATTGCATCCTCGGCAACCTCCCCCGATCACCACCTGGCGACCTGTCGTCGCAGCCATGGCCGAGCCAATCCCCGATAGCCTGCGACAGGCCGATATCACGAGATTCATCAATCGCGCAAACCAGCTGCGCCAATATAAGCCGGTCATCACCTACTGGTGTAGGTGCCACCATCTGCACTATCTGCAGTAGCTCCGATAACCTCCGATACTGACGAGATGCGCAGGCGAGTACTGGGTGGTTAATCAGATCCTTGCGAAGGGACTGCACAATGTCGATGATGAGAGCCTCTCGTACACAACCAACTTGATGGACCGTCTCGAACAGGTGAGAAAACCTGATAAGGCAAGAACCGTGGCTGGTGTTGTCCGGTGACTAACAGGTGCTGTACCAGACCAAAACCGAGAACGCTCAGGAAGAGGCCATCACAGACGATGCGGTCGGTCAGGCATATGTTGAGCAATTCGCGCAGGATGCTTTCGAGAGGGCAGAGAAGGTTCTCAGAGCAAACCGGGTCACAAGGTACAAAACTCCCTACCGGCCAGCCAACCTCGCCTTCATTGTCAGCTAACATACCCTGCAGGCAAACCGCCGATACGTACGATGCGGCCGCGACTTTTCTCTTGCTGGGCAACATTTGGGGTCCTGTGGATGAGGAAACACAAAAGAAGGTCAAATACGCAAAGTGGAACGCTGCTCGCATACTCAAGGCTATCAAGGAGGGAAAGGATCCGAATGAGTCGAACCCTAAGCAGGAGGAACCGGAGGAAGATCTGCCTGCTTTAGATCCCAACGACCCCGACGTCCGCGGTCTCACGTCCCCTCCCCCGAAGCCGGTTTCTGTCGAGGATGACCCAGAGACCGAGTTTTACAAAAAGGCACCTACGCCGGCAGAGTCTATACCGCCCGCTGCGCCGAGCGAACCCGTCCCCACCCAGTCTAATATCCTCGATCTGCCCTCGGTCCCGACAGCAAACGACCTGAACCCTCCTACGCCCCAGAACCAGGGCTATTTCGACCCTCCCGAACAGTTCCCGCCGTCACCTCTCAGTCAGACGGGCACAAGCGACGCGGCTCTCACGGGAAATGCCGCATCAGCACCGTCGCCCTATGCTGCATCCTCAACGGGTCCATCTTTCAGTCCATCCAATGCAGCATCGCCGTGGCAACCGCCTCAAATGCCTCCTTCGAATGTCACCAAATCACCTCCGCCGCCAGCCCCCAAGCAGTTCAAGCCCCCGCCGATCGCGCAACAGCCCAAAGTCCCCATGTTTCCCGCCTCGCACAATTCATGGGCCCCGAGCAGTGCGCCGTCGGACGAGATGGACTTGCCCAAGGCACAGAAGCACGCAAAGTGGGCGATATCTGCACTGAACTTTGAAGACGTACCGACGGCCGTCAAGGAGCTCCGCAACGCGCTTGCGGCGTTGGGTGCGCAGTAATATGGCTAGCAGTCTTGCGTGTCGACGGTAGTCAAGGCTCGGAAGATGATGATACAGGAACGAGACAAAGAGTCATTGGGCCTCAAGAGTCCAGGCCTTAGGAGTTGAATAATGATACTTTTATATCTATTAACGGGCCTAAATTCGTGGCCAACGTTTTCGCTGTTGGTTCTTATGCAACTCCACCATTCACACGGATGACTTGACCCGTAACCCAGGATGACTCCTTGCCTGAGAGAAACAGAGCAACGGAGGCGATCTCTTCTGGTGTACCGATCCTGTTATACGGGCTGTTCGCGCTTATACGTGCAATCATCTCTTCCGTCTTGCCCCTGTAAAAGAGCTCAGTGCCCGTGGCGCCAGGTGCGATGGCGTTGACAGTGATGCCTTTGCTAGCCAGATCCTTGGCCATGTACTTGGTCATCTGCTCGATGCTGCCCTTTGTTGAAGCGTAGAGGAGGTACGGCGGGGGGAGGTTACTTGAAGCAAGGACTGTCGTAGAAAGAAAGATGACTCGGCCGCCTTCAGGCATGTGAGGGAGTGCTTTCTATGGTGGTGGTGTTAATCACGGCGACAGTCGCGAATTCGCACACAGGCAGGCTGCTCTCTTACCTGGACCAAAAAGTATGGTCCCTTGACGTTGGTGTTGAACATGATGTCAAAGTCCTCCTCGGATGTGTTCTCAACGGTGCGCATGTGCATGATGGCGGCGTTGGGGATGAGGACGTCGATCCTGCCAAACTTTTCAACGGTGACGTCTACGAGCTTCTGCAGCTCGGCGGTCTTGGAGTTGTCGGCGCGCACGGCGATGGCGCGGTCGCTGCCGATGGTCCTGACAACCTCATCGGCGGCAGAGGAGTCGCTGCTGTAGTTGACTACGACCTTTGCGCCCTGGGCAGCGGCGCCGATGGCCATGGCCCGGCCGATGCCCTTGGAGCCGCCCGTGATGAGAATGACCTTATCTTGGAGTGACATGTTGTGCAAATGAGACTGGTTTGCGACAAGGCTTTATTTCTGCGTAAGCTGGAACTGCAGTTATTTCGTACTTCAGTCTGAGTGAGGTTGCTGGGCAATGCGACGGTTTAAGCTGACATGCTTTGAAGCTCTTGTCTTATAGCTCAAAGAATGGGCGCGCATTGAAAGAGGCGCTCATTAGCGCGAGAGCGAGGCGTCTTCCACACAGGATTGACCGACTCCAGCAAACGATGCACGCATTGGTGACTCAAAGACCCTCGTTCCATCCGAAGGAAAGCGGGAGTGGGGAGCGAAGGCCGACGGGTTCGCTACTAGAGAGCTCGTTTCCTACGCGCGAGAGGCCGAGCTTGCAGAGGGTTTTTTTTGGAAGGAACCACGATCGGATTCTGGCCAAGTCCGTAATCATGCCGTCTCCCGAGCTTCGGCTCCGTCCTGTTGGATGGCAGTGGGAATAGAATGCCACCAGCTACTTTGGCAACCCGTCCCCCGACAAGAGGATGATTTGCATCGGCCCTAAAACCGTCGAAACCGTCGCCCTTGGCGGTTCGGCCCAAGAAGAGGAAGATGCTTGTTTGCTCCGATAGGGCTGAGGGTCCGCATGACGTTACCTGGAGAAAGGGACTCGAGGAGTTGGCAACTATTGACTCGCGAAACGAGACTTCAGCCCGTCTCGTTTTGGACGGATTTGGAGAAAAACGGCCCCTGCAAGTCCGAAATGGAACAATTAGTGATTGGACCCACGGCTTAGGCCAGGGCATAAGCTGTTTGCGATGGCGCCGATTGCCGAATTGGCTGTCAAGATCGTTCCCGCAACCAAGCTGAACTTGTCATGGTCAGGGCTCAGCCACAAAGCATGTCGGAGATCGCCAGCAGCATCTCTTGCTCAGTTGCAGGAGTAACATCCGCCACGTGCGGCGAGTCAAGATCACTTGGAAGATCCCACTGGTGACGAAGGGACCATGGGTTCCATGCCTTCCGCGGACCTTCTGTCCGTGTCATGACGGGACGCAACTTGGCACTTGGCGTTGACGATCAGTTTTAACTCCATCGGCTTTACCACAACCTCGCAGGTGGGGCCCCCGTACTGTACACTACTGTGACTAAGGTAGAAAGCCGAAGCACGTATGAAAGACAGGCAGATGTACTCGCAATCAGCTCCATCCAGGCAATACTGGGGGGTCGATGAGGGTGGAACTGAGCATTATTGATGTCATCAGTAGCTGCAGTAGCCGTAGTCCCCGGCGCCACTAGAGTTCACCCCTCTTGCCTGATTCGTCCAAGTCTCATCAGAAGCCTGGATTGTCATCCTATCGTTTGCAACGGGAGGCCGTGACAGCTTGTTGTACCGCGTGCTTATCGGTGATGTGGATGCACAGTAAGCTCATTGACCTTCCTTCTCTTGGGTGAAGTGAGGGGTCTGGAGGGGTTGTAAGTCGGCATGTCCGCCGCGTCCGGCAAGCGTGGATTCCAGCTTCAGACTCGCCATATAAAAAGCGACTTACGATCCGTGTTTAAACTGCACATCTTTCCACTAAAAACTATTTTCATGCTTCTCTAGATCAAATAAATCATCACACTTTTACGTATCCATAACAGTTTTTCACAAACTCAACAGTCACAATGACATCACTCCCAAAGACTTACAAGGCGGCGATAGTTGAGTCCAAGAGCGCGCCCCTCAAGATTGTCGACCAAGAGCTGAAGCAGCCTGGCCCCGGCCTCATCCTCGTCAAGGTGCTGGCTTGCGGTGTCTGCCACTCGGACGTGGGCATGCAGGAGGGCGGGTTCGGCGACGTCTTCCCCCGCATTCCAGGTCACGAGGTTGTCGGCGATGTGGTGGCAGTCGGAGAGGGTGTGAGCAGGTTCTCTGGTGGAGAGCGCGTTGGAGGTGCCTGGCACGGAGGTATGTCTTAGACCTACGCATGCAGTGTTTCCCATCGAGTCATATGTTACTAACACCTCGATGCAGGTCATGATGGGACTTGCCGGCAATGCCAGAAGGGCTTCTTCCAGACGTGCGACAATGAGACGGTCAACGGTGTGTTCCGCGACGGCGGATACGCGCAGTACGTGCTGCTCCGCTCCGAGGCTGCGGTTCGGGTGCCGAAGGACGTCGACCCGGCCGAGACGGCGCCACTCCTTTGCGCTGGAGTGACTGTCTTCAACAGCATCCGCAAGATGGGCATTGAGCAGGGAAACATTGTCGCTATCCAGGGTCTCGGCGGCCTCGGCCATCTTGCCGTCCAGTACGCTAGCCGCATGGGCTACAAAACAGTCGTCCTCAGCTCGGGGGCCTCGAAGAAGGACTTTGCGATGAAGCTCGGTGCGCATGAGTACATCGACTCGAGCGCGTCCGACCCCGTCAAGGAGCTCAAGAAGCTTGGTGGTGCATCATTGATCATCGCGACGGCGCCCAACGCCAAGATCATCTCGCCGCTCACCGGCGGTCTGCACGCTGGCGGCAAGCTCTGCGTGCTTGCGCCGGTCGGAAGCCTCGAGGTCGACACCGTCGATCTCATCGTCGGTGGCAAGTCGGTCTGCGGCTGGCCCAGCGGACACCAAATGGACTCGGAGGAGGCGATTGACTTTGCAGCAACGCACGGCATCAAGTGTATGATCGAGCGGTTTTCTCTGGATGATGCGAAGAAGGCTTCGGAGCACATGCTGTCCAACAAGGTCCGCTTCCGCAGTGTGCTGGTTATGGAATAGGCGTTGGCATATGAGGTTAAAACGGTTGTATTAGTAGGGAAAGGGTGAGGAGGGTGATGACCTGAGTGAGAGAATAGAAAAGGAGATCTGTTAGTAGAAAATTGTTAATAAGAATCGCAATGCAATCGAGATGAGAAATGCCCGCTCTCACCACCCCAAAACGCATCGTGGTTTCTACAATGACATCCGTTAAGTGCAAGGCAATCTACACAAACCCTTTAATTAGCCGCTCGCATAAGCTCTGGCAGGCTCTCAAGTCGCACGAACCTGCAAAGAGTTCACTCAAGTTCCGGCCTACCCCATGTAGCGCCACAACGCCAGCAACTTCTAGGGTTTCGCGTTTTGGGACCTGTATTGTGGGATCCAGTCTCATTCTCACATGCTTACAAACTTGGCGCGCGACATGGCTGTTTCTTTTCAGACTGTTCTTCCCTCTTGCTCAACGACCGCACCCCGAAGACTGTCTGCCTAGACATTATGTTTCCTCCCACTAATATTGAATTAACCATACTCGCTCAACTACATCTTCGGCAACATGGTCCATCGCGATATTTTCTGTTTTAATGGTGCACCGCCTTCAATTCTGCCACGGCCCAACTTTTCCACCGTGTCGGCGGCTGTACCTCTTAACCCTAGCTGGCAGTGTCTTACGCGTGGCTCCACCAAGTCTGATCAGCAGAGTTTGGTTCTGTCGACTCGAAAGTACAGAAACGCGTGCTGCTGGCGATATTACTGAGCAATAGTGAGCTACATACTCTCGGTATAGCATGGAACAACAATCTCTCCATTGAACTGAATTCACAAATAGACTGCGAGCAACATACAAGTAGAATCGCCTTGCAATCAATTTCCGCCTGGTCCCTTATCCTCGAGTCCTCGCCGCTTTGGCCACTCATCTTCCAGCATGAAATAAAGCAGAACGTCCCACCACTTTCTCTCGTGGTAAGTCAAGTCACCCCCTTCTGGGCACCCCACCCTTGTGGGCACCCCTTTTACACCAAAACTGCTCTTTCTCACCATAGCTTTATCTTAGTCAGCTTACTAATTAAAAGTCTAAGAAAATTATAGCTTATATAATATAACTTATATCTTATGTATATAGTCGTTATATCTAGTTATTACTTTATATTAGTCTAAACTAAAGCTTAACCCCAAAAGCTTAGAACTGTTAAGGTTTACACGTATTATATTAGTATTTATTAATAAAAAGAAACTTTAAATAAAACTATACTATAAGTATATATTTGTTATAATACTTAAAAAAGTATATATTATTAAATCTAAAATAGTATAGTTATAAGTATTATTTATAACTTATCTCATAGCGTTATATTATATAAATCTATAATAGTATACTTTATAAGAAACCTTTTTTAAAAGAAAACGTATTATTTATTATAAATATATATTTAAAACACTTATCTTATAAGCAAATACTTGTTTTAACTTTTATATATAAACAGTATTTATATATAAAACTCTAGTTTTATAAGACCTTTTTTTATAAAGTAATAATAGTTTTAAAACAATTAGTAAATTACTAGTACATTAGTAATATCTTATTTTAATACTATTACTAAGCACTTAGACTATTTAGGTGTCTAAAAACCTATATATAGCTAAATTCTAGTAATTCTGTATAAGTTATAATTTTCTTGGATTTTTAATTAGTAAGCTGACTAAGATAAAGCTATGGTGAAAAAGAGCAGTTTTGGTGTAAAAGGGGTGCCCAGAAGGGGGTGACTTGACTTAATGTGATTTCCGAAAACGACACTCTAGCACAAAGCTCAACTTCTCGTACAAGTGTTCCGCGGCCGTTGTACTCGACACAACCGAGGCTGATGAAGTGAATGTTGGCCCTCTGGAAAGCTCAATCGACCGCCCAACTGATTGCTGCAGCACCGTAACCCTTGTCACGATGCGCCGGCGCGATGCTGTTAGTCAAAACAGCTCGTCTGTGGTGGTGGCGATAGTTGTCCCCGGCTTCGTCATTGAGGGCAATAACTCCAATTGCCTGCGATATGCCTGTTCCGTCTGCTGCCGACACGCATATTATCACGCCTAATAAGAAATTTTGCAAATCTTGGAGAAGGGTGTCGTTACGCTTCCTGGTTTGTGGTCGAAGTGCGTTTGGCCCCCCTAGCGAATCCGACGGGATCGTTTGTTATTTGCTCGTGGATCCAGGATTTGTTTTCTTATTGTCTTCGATGGCCCGGAATTCAAGTCGCTCCGATCGATATGCGTTGCCAAGGTCACTCGCCATAGCGTTTAGGCATGTTGGAAAGCGCGAACGTGTTGATTTAGGAAGAGCTTTGCTACGATGGTTGATGTGAAAAGAGCCGCAATGCGACAAAAGGGTTCTCGTGCTAGAATACAGTCAGCCTCGTCAAACAAATCCAACAAATTGGTCCCTCATATATAGTCTTTTTGAGTATTGGGCGTGTCTCTGGCACAAATGTCTGCAAGCAAGCGGTTTGTTAGTGCTTAGATCAGCTGAATATGTCCGTACAACCAACCTACCGCAACGTTACGATGAACACATTCTGAGTCACACCTACAACAAGATCAGAGCTGTGCGGCTAGGAGTTCTATCTGGCGAGTAACAAGAAACATATGACTTCAACACATTGCTTGTGGCATACTTGAACCGTTGTGGAACGCTTCGCATACAAACAAAGACATTCTGGTTGACAGAGATTATGTTCCATTAAGTTTTTGTATAGGTATGTTATTTCCTGTTTCCCAGTCGTGAGGTGGTGGATTATTAGGTTCATTAATTACATTCAAACTGCGACTCTATACCCGGTCTTCCCGTAAAGAAAACGTCTGGACGACGACAATGTTATCGCGGTCGCTTCCTGCCGATTCCTTAGAGGCTTCGAAGGTTAGTTCGGTTTCGCTTTCGTTGTCACGCCTCCCCGTCGACTCCCAGCCGCGAGCGCGCTTGCTTGACGGTTTGTGTTGTTGATTCCGGTCTGACTCGCTGCTGCCCATCTCGTGGCTCTCTTCGTCATCCTTAGACATGAAAGTGGTGAGACTGAAGGGCCCACGTCGTTGATGGCTCGAACTGCTATTGCTGACGTTCTTAATTTTGCCGCCCATGGCGGACGGGGCACCGCGTTCGGAGTCGTGGAGTTGGGAGGGGCCCATGGAGGTGAAGCCAAGTCGGTATCCTACGAGCCGGAATAGTGGGCGGAGGGTTGCAAGGCTGCCTGCGGTGATCGCCAGGCCCTGCTCGGTGGTGGACCAGATCGCGATGTCAACTGTTGCATCTGGAGTCGCGCGAGTCAGCACCCAACAACCTTAAATTTGATCACCACGGGGGGCCGCGAAGTGGGACTAGACTAACAAAGGAAGTCTGGATTCTTGAAGTCCTTGACAAACGGCATGCGCACAACGACAGCGGCGCTGGCACTTTAAAATGGTTAGCCAGATGCCCAGAGGCCAAAAGACAAGACAGTCAAACTCACATGCAGGCCATGGCCATGACAGGCACGAGCGCCAACTTGGTCTTGCGGTCCATCTTCAATTTCCAGATAAGAACGATGGGCAAAATGGCAAAGGTAAAGTCGCAGATGACACTGAATGCGCTGTAGAGGAAGGTGAGAGCGATGATGACATCCATTGGGACACAGTGCCCCTCCTGGGTGCTCTTGTTCCAAAAGTAAGAGATCGGTAGACATTGCAAGAGAGTTACAAAGAAGAAGACGACGCCGGTGCAGACCGTCAACATCATCACAATGTAGATGATCCAAATGTCGACCTTTCGCACTGTTATTCGGAGGAGGAAGTAGCCGATGGAGATTTTAGAGGCGATCATGGCTAGACAGTACCAAAGGTAGCAGTACCACCAATACTGTTACTCGTCAGCGCATGTTCGTCCATCAAGTTCTTGAGCAAATAGATCGATGGCTTACCATCATAGCAGACTCCCAGTCCTCATCGCTGAGATCCTTGCGGTGACGACCAGTTCCATAGTGTACGCCCGTCAGTGCGCATGATACGAAGAGAATGAAAAATATCTATTGACGATCGGGTCAGTCTAGGGTTCCATGGGTTTGGATTGCCATGTATCCGAATATTGAGGGTTTGACGCACAACAGCACCAAGCATAAACCAATCGTCGACCCCAAAATTCTTGACAAGGCTGAATCGGACATAGCATCGGAGGAGAACTGCTAGAAAAGCTGTGGTAACGAGAGTGATGCCGACGGCCACCAGCTGCGGACCACGGTTCTCGATTTCCGCCATTGCGATCGAAATAAGCGAACTGAAGATTTCCGATACTCAGGCTAAAAGAAAAAGGGATCGAACGACGAGTCGTGCTGCTGTCAAAGGAGGGGCTGAGAGGAGCCGTAGGGTCGGACGTCGTTCTACAGGTTCTCCATCTCGACAGGAATGAAGACGGATGGGGAGGGACCTTGTTGAAGATATGCGTCCCTGGAAAATGGGAACGAAACCACGCATTGCACCGGGCTGGTCTAGCACCGTTGCTGCCGTGCGGCGTGAGACGAAGCAGAGAGGCGACGATACCCCTGATCGTCACTCACAGGTGCGCAGAACCTTGCAGACTATCACCCTGGCATGGCCACGAACCTATGCCGGATTCGAAATGGATCTTCATGTGTTCGACTAGGATGGAAATATCGGCAAATGGGTCGAGCCACATCTCAGGTAATCCAGCCTCACACATTACCATCCCAGTTGGTATTAGTTTCCCAGTTAGTGGCCGGTGAAGTATCCATATCGGGCTTAATGGCCGAGGTGTCCATTGTCTGGAATCCTTCCCCCGCATTAGTTCCGAAGAAATTGAAGATTCTGAACTCTTCAACCTCGGGGGATTCCTCTGCCAAGAATAAAAAGTAGTGAAAGGCTTCAGGGATGCCACCATGACCGGGTGACAATCGGCCGCCTCCTCAAACATAATTCCGATTCTCCTTACCAGCTTCCCACGAGGTGCAGCAGGGAACCAAATCCACCACGGGAGAATTGGGAAGATTTGGGGGCCATCTCATCGTTACGGATGGCCGCATTCGGATAATAAGTGACGGTAACGCCTCGCATGGATGCATTGCTGAACCTTGACATTGCAATTCTGTTTCTGGAGGATCAAATCTATTGACTACGGCGGAGAGAAAACTCTCTTTAGCCATCGGCAAACGTGTCTTTCCTCTTTGGAACCTGCCAGAATAGTGCGACGATGGCTATTTCGTGATGCTGATACGAGGAGAGTAGAAGAGAGCCGGAGGGGTTCAGCATTTGTACGGATGCTTCACATCGTATGCTTGACCATTATCAATGAGTATTCAATGCGGGGTTTTACCAGTGTGGTGCCATTTATCGAATTCCTTTCTTGAGAACACCCGCGTGGAACAAATCTCCATGCTCCTGCACGCCGACTATCAACAAAAGCAGTAAGCAAGACTGCCGTTGCTCTGAGGCGGACATTTCCGTACTAATGCAGGTCGCGTGCTGAGGAAGTTTAGGGGGCATTCTAGGGTGTCCTTTGCTCGCATGTTGGGCTGACAGGAACCAGGGGAAAGTCCAACAACGTTCAGCGACTGGTGGGAATTATGGGAGTGGATAAGAGCCGAAGACGCGGAAATGTGAAGACTGGTGGTGGACTGGAGCCATCAATAGCGAAGTAGTCTCCAATAGGGAACTGATTGTCTCAGACATCCCCACTCGTATTACTGTTCCATTGGGCATCCCATTTAGGGGAAGTCATCCGAACCAGCCCGTCTGCCCATGCCATCAGCAAGTATGACAGCTCGCTTGTGACACCGTACGTGCACAACTTAACCGTTTGGTTGGGCTCGTGAACCCTATGGCCCTTCTCCTTCTTCTGCAGATTGTTCTTCTTCAAATTCCTTTGCGGAATTGTGGCTTACGACCGTCGTCTCTCCAGTATGTTAGGCCGCATCAAACAAAGCGTCAACTGAGTCTCTGACAATGCAGGTTCTTGCAGACGTCTTGTGATCGTCCCCAATATTTGCATTGTCTTATCCATCAAATCCACCTCGCCTGTTCATCGTAGCCTCTTAAGCTCCTCGAACTGTGCCACACCCGCTATTGCCACCTTATCCCCGTCCATCATCAGCCTCGAGGTTTCATTTGCCAACGCTAAGAGCCTCAAGCAGTGACAGGCCCATTGCGACCCGCAGCTTTCTTGTCGGACAAACACCCAACTTCAAGGCTTTACTCTGTCCGTTCCCACTTCGCCGTCGTCAGCTTGAATTGCGTCAGAAAACGATCCTGGTTCCGAAGAGGCCGGTTATCACGGATGCATGTCTGCAGGTCCCAATTAAACTGGCGCCGCCCCAACGCACAGATAACTGAACGAGTAGGAACCCAACGAAAATCTCATGTGGGGGCTTCGAAAACCAGATCTGGTATAAGATCGGTCATCGCTGCTACCTGACATCCGGACGGCAAACCCGCTGCCCAACACAGCCTATCAACCACGAATAGGCAAAATCAGGTAGCAAATCTGAAGTCCAGCCTCTCTACCCTTGCCCGTGGTAGTATCCATTTGTTGTTGGCGCTCCTCCGGCGACATGGCGTCCCGTATTTGGTCTCGCTACTTGTTTTTTTAAACATAGGAGAACTCAGCGCATAACATAGATCGCGATATAAACTAGCAATCCTGACTAGAACCATGTTGCCGCGACGATATACTGAAAGATCGTCTCGTTAGTAAATCTTGGCGCTGGCAATAGCCTGTAGTTGCACAGACATGTTGTAAAGTGCGGCTGACACAGTCCCTGTCCTCACAGTGTTGGAGTTATGGCTTGCTCAACCAACTTGCCTAGAGGGAGACTAGCATGATCAGGGTATTCTACAAGCAGCATCCAAAGTAGATGACTCACGTAGAGCAAGGCGAAGGATAAGACACCAGTACGATCATTAATGCATATGAAGCCCACCGGTTAACATTTGGCAATACTAATCCAAGGGCAAAAACACAAGAAAGCAGCTGCAACAAAAGAACCCGCCAAACAGTGTCCGCTGGCTAATTCTCTCCGGGAACTACATCAATAGCAATACCTGATGTGCTGTTGGTTCGCACCCTATAGTACATGGTTCAGCCAATAATCACTCTTGAGGTCACTGCTGTCGTGGCCTAACACAGGATGGCGAGAAGATCCACATGTATGAAGACGAAGACGTTAATACACAGGAGCCTTGAGCAATCAATACAATATGGTGTAGAAACCTGAAAGTCCACCAAGATACACCAGGGATAAACTACCTTGAAGCATTTCAATCAAGGCGTGGGGTGCGAGAAGAGAACAATGTGCACTAAGCCAGAACTGGATCGTACTGACCATGCTTGAAAGTATCACACGTGCTGGAATCCAACGATCACTGCAACAGGATTGTATGGTTAATAATACCTCCTTCAATTCCGTATCCGGAAAACACATATGGTACAGTTTTCTTGCTTGTGAGCTGGCTTAATAGTCTAGCTAAAATAAAAATAAAATAAAAAGGACTATTGGACCGAGGTCATGGCCATTAATTTCAAGTCAAAGGTCGCCGAGGAAGTCATCAGAATCGACCCGTCTAATGTTGGACTGGGCCAAGTCCAGAGGGAAGAAGGCAATACAAGACCAAGGAGTCACTCTACTGTCATTCTCTCTGATCAATAGAGTTTATTTTGTTCAAGTCCATCGGAAAGTTGCGCCAAAGTGGTATTTCTTAGTGAATGTTCCTACGGCGTCAATCACCAAGAAACATTAGATGCCAGAATATAACTGTTAATGATCACATTCTGCGGGATACGGCATGAGGAACTTTGGTTTCACCGGCATATCATACCCTTTCCTCGGTTTCTCGGGACTTAGTCCGGTGCGGTTTCCGATCGGGCAAACCGAAATTCGTCAAGCTTAGCTGGCGGAGCGGATAATTGAGGTTCTTGCTCTGCAATTAGGGAATATGCATTATCAACGAATCGCAACTGAAATGACCAATGTAGTTGGAAAGGGCTTAAGGCCCCAAGATACTTAACGAACCGCAAGTAAGAATGCAAGCCAAGGTACGGTAAGGTTTAGCGGTGCGGCCAAACTTTTTCACACGGACCGAACTGCGATGTGACTGCCACCCAACACTTCAGATACAAGTCTCGCGCAGGCACCTTGAGTGAAAAATCCGTCTTTAGGTTTCTTAATCAAACCTTGACCGCCATAGCTTGCGCATAGAGTACAAGGATTATGAATAGTATGACTGAGACATTGATAATCACTAGTGTGACACATAGCCCTTGACTTGGTGCCTAGCTTACCTTGGGACTGATGTAACGTGAATTGACTGGGTATACGGTAGGGTCTGACTGTATGCCTCGGTTGGTAAAGCAGATAATGTGAGATCGCAGATGAGAGCTTACGAAAAATGAAGAGAAATGATTCCTCAGTTGACGAGGTAGTTTCAGTATGCCGAGGAGTGGAGCTTGTTTTAATAACAGAAATTTGACGTAACAGATAAATCATCGACGTCAGTTATTCTACAAAACTTGAACTCAAGGCTGCTCGCAAGACTGGTTGCCGTGCCCAACGGGTTGACATTACCACATATGCCTTACACAAGCTGATGATACAATCAAGTTGACAAGATCTGAATACTTACAGTGTCGCTTGGGGCAAAATGTACCGCCTTTGTGTCTTTCAAGAGATAGATGTACGTTTATAGAAGAATTGGCCGATTTGTTTCGTCAGACCGATAGCAGAGTGTCTCAACAGTAAGGAACACAATGTTTCAGGAGGCGCACAAGCGATATTACACGTAGATAACAGAGAAATTGCAAACAAAGTTTCTTTCATTAGGCGAATAATAGAACAGAGCCCAATCTAGAAGTACCCTATGTAGTTTATGGTATGTAGCTGCTAACAAGTGTAGTTCAGGTTATTGGGAAAGCGCGGGAACATACAACATGATTGCAGAATAATGTTCAAGGAAAGAAAAATGTAACATGGAAGTCTTAGATCTAAGATTCTCTACAACTCTATATATTCTTGGGGTCAGTTTTACTCTATTCAACCCAAGTACCGTCGTCTTCGATCTGCAAGAGATGCGCCAATGCCCAGTCTTGGTCGTTGGCGTAAGGGTCTTTGTAGTGAGCCAGTCGGCCGTTTACAGACCGCGGATAAATCCATGCACAAGATGCTCTGCCATCAGGCGTGAAAAGAGCCAGGTTGGCTCGTATGATACCATCGGACTGCTTGCTGTAGAAAGGGTCTCTGATTGCCTTGCTAAAATGGTGTAAAGCAATGGCATTCAAAGTACTCCAGTAGTGAGGAAACGTGTCTCCCCACGTGCGGTCTTTCCCGAACCAGTGGCCATCCCAATGTCGAATAGCAACGTCGTGAACTCTATAGTCTGGTTGCTTCCCGGCAAAGCGGAGGAGGACTTCCACCTGCAATTCAGCCGCTGAAAGCCAAGTATTATCCCCCGTCGCTCGGTACAGCTCCAGCAATATTATTGCTGCTGGGGCGACGATAGATTGCTCGAAGTTAACCTCAAAAGGGGGATAATCCGTTCCTCTCTCCAAAATGTTTCGGCCGTGTGAGATGAATAAATTTCTAGCCCGCTCCAAAGCTGTCACGTCACCCGATGCCTTGAGCACTCGGAGACCCTCAAGAATTGGCAAGCCGATAGCATAAAGCGACGCGCCACCCTCATCATAGAATCTCTCAAGTGTTTCCATGAATCTCGCAAGTGGTGATTTACCAGACAGAGCAGGGATTCCAATAGCTGCGGCGACCAGGTGAAGCTGTAAGACCCATGGCCAGTTGTAGAGGCGCTTGTTGACGTATGTACCGGTTCCATAAGGAGCATCGAAGACAAAACCGTTATCATCTTGAAGTTTCGTACAAACGAATGAGTAGTAGGCGGCAAATGAGTCTTTCAATCTGCTGTCCGATTTCTTCTTCAGCCATCGGCCAACGAGGACACCCATGCCAACACGCTCGCGCCCAGCATTCCGGTCTTGCTGAGTTTCGTAAAAGGGTGATGCTTCGGCTTGATTGTCATAGACAACATAAGCCCCCTGTAAAATGTCATTAGTATCGCCGACTTGTTGTCTCTCTACGATGAAATTTATTCGACTCTTTATGAGATCATCATAACGTGGAACTGTGTTGAGAAAGACCATAGACTCTTTCTGCGCGATTCCTGAACCGGTTGCAATGCGCAACGTCTCCTGGCCCATTCTTCCAGCATGATGAACGTAGGCAAAGCCTGAGTCATCCTGCTGCACACTCAGGCCGTTCACAGTTGTGGTTGAGTTCACGGCAGCAGCGTCACCCGTCATTCGTATTCTGACGGCCTCTCCAGACACAAGCGTATGGCGTGGTATATCGAAGTGAATGAATTGATTCGATCGGCGGGCGCACTGAGCGAAGAAGTCTTCCCAATCAGTGTGCCAGAATAGAGTCCACTCCAAGATACTTGACTGGCCAGGCTCGAGAACGGGAACAGAAGGATGAAGGAGAAACACGCCTCGGGTGTTGGAATGCGTTACTTCATCTCGAGACTCGATGCTGTAGCCGGACAACGATCCTTTCGTAAGAACGAGACCCAGATTTCGACCATGGCCTCCCATTTGAGTGAGTTTCACCCATGATGAACACCCGCCATTGGCCCATACATGGGCATGTGTACGGAAATGGAGTGCGTCAGTAGTGTTGGTATAGTGGTCGTTGAAGGGAGTGTAGATTGCGAAGGATGTCTCTCCTGTCGCGGAAAGGTTGAGTGAAGAGGCACCCCGGTTCCGGAACTCGTAAGTCTCCGTAAAGGACCGCGTTTTCCTGTCGAGACGTCGGTGGACAACAAGTTCCAGCGGCCCAGATTGATACGTTGCGACCGTGACATCGTGGCCGCTCGATGAATCGATGCGAGGGCTGTTCCAGAAAAGCCGATGGAGCAGATTGGCGCCAAGGTCTGCAAACCCCAAACCCCAGCGACTGCCCAGAGGCTGCCAGGGCGCGTTAGCCGGAGAGCTGACCCAGTTCAACGGGGTTTTGGCGCGAGGATCCGCGATCTCCAGGACAGCTCCGGTAGCCCTGTCGACATGGACGCGGAAGTCTTCATTGTAAAGCTCAATAGTCCGAACCATGGTTGCAGTGATGTGTACCAAATGGCGATGTGTCGTCTCAAGAAGCCTTTTGTTGAACTCAGGGAATGCCGCGACTCATGAGAGCAACAATGTGTCATGCTTGGCATACCTTGTGTGGCAGCTGAGGCAGGCTGAGACATGCGCTACGTGATGTATGAGATCATGAGATTAGAAGTCGAAACTTTAATGCGCGCTGACACTGGAGACAGTGGGGTTGTGCACCCAGCCATACGGACACCTGCTAATAATTGTGTACTTATGAGTGGAGCAACGAGCGGACCGCTGAAAGTCGGCGGTGCCGGGGTCATCTGGACCTAATTACTACATTTGCTGTCCTGTTTTTCTTCGCTAGGGATGTTGCTTGTTACCACAAGGATTTCTACTGTCCTATTGAACTTACTGTTTTTATTCAGCTTTGATTCTTCTTATAGTCTTCTGGTTGCCGGCAATTCTTTTGGTTTACTATGTCCTAAAAGGGCATCATTGATGCCAACCAAGCCGACGCCACGACGACTTGAAGTAGACCACTGGAAAGAATGGTCTTCAAGGACAACATCTCAAGTAAGTTGTCGGGTTTGATCAAACACCTACAATAAAAACCACCATTATGCACACGGGAAAATAAATGAGGAGACTAGGTCTGTCGGCAATGCAGTGTTGATTTATGAGCTTGGCGCTACTTCGACAAGTGCACATGATCATCATCCTCGTGCGAAAAGCACCTACATCTTAAATGGGCTGATTTATTGGGGTTCTCAACACGTGCCTCCGCAATGGAGCGAAGAGTTTACTTAGTTGGTCATACTACAGTCTTCAATCCAACAAGGACGATTGAGTCTATTACAGCGGAGACCGGATGAACTTGAAAAGCCAGGAATAGATTCACAAATGCAGCTAAACCTTGCATATACGCCTCTAACTACCCTTGCTGGAACAGGGCTTTGGGAATTGCTAGGTATACAATGAATAACAGCACATGAACACACGCGGGGTCAATGCCAAGCAGGTTATAGAAGAGCTAGTAGCCATGCTTGGGCTTCTGGAGAACACTACAGAATTCAACGACGTTACTTCCTGTAACCTTTCCATCTCAAGCTCTATCACTCCTGCCATTTCACTGTTCCAGATCCAATAAACCCAAGTATTATCCTTATCATCGTCGTTGTCATAATTAAGCTTTCCATCACCACTTCTATCGTAATTGCCCTAGCCGCCCCCAGTACTGGGGCATAATTACGCAAGATGCGGTCCTTTTGATGGTTGTTGCGGCGGCGAACTGAGCTTTCGCTGCTTCAACGTAACCGAGAACACCCCATTATGCTGCGACACGAGCGATTGTATCGAGTAACAATAATCCTTGAAGTATTAAATCTTTCGCATGTGTCACATTCCAATCTAGGACTGAATGTTAATTGGATCTAGGTCTAGACTCAGGTTGAACGTGAAAAGCAAATTCGACACGAACTGAGGTGAATCAACCTCTTCCAGCGAAGGAATCCATCGCTAGGTTGATAACATTTGTATCTGTGTGGCAAGCGTGGGTTTAGGAAGCAGAATACTATCGATGGTGTGTCAGACTATCACGCAAGTGTCTGATCCGTACCGAACTCGAATGCCTACATAACCATGTCAGAAATGTTCTGTGCTGTATTGTCACACGCACAACATACCAAGTCATGCCACGCAACGCCGGCGTACTCAGATTGACTTTTGCCAAAGTGTGTGAACCCTAGCTTCTGATAGTAGGGGACCAGCCTATCATAAGTAAGAATCGAAATTCTGTCGGCTTGTCCAGTCTGTCCCATTTCCTTGATGTAGGTCGCCATGAGCTTCTTGCCGTAGCCCAGCTTTTGACAAGGTGGCAAAACAGCAAGCGAATGCAGCGCAATGGTTCTACCTTCAGTTTTATGACCGACGTTGTGAACAGCCGTGGGGTCCACCTTCCAGGTCTCTGGGAAGGCCATGTCCTCGTCTTGAACTACTTGGGAGTTCGACTGTGTGGAAATGGTATGCGCGATGAGTCTGTCGTTGCCCGAGCCTTCAGGCGCTTTGGTCAAGACCGGGATGTCTCCTTGTTGCCTTTTCCCTTCCGGATTACCCGTACCTTGACGAGCAAATAAGCCAAAGCAAAGATAGGGGCATACCGTCAAACGGTATTCGATCTACGGCGGTATGGGTGTTAGGGATATGGATTCAAATCGATTACCGAGGCCATGTGTATTAGGTAGTCTGAAACTGAACACGTGGCCATAGACTCCGCAGAAAGCACATATGCTCTGGTGAGAGACCATTGGTATCACGCAAATGATGTGTAGAAGTTCGAGGGTTTGTGAATCAGATCATGAATCATGGCCACACATGGAGGCAAAGTTGGCAACGGTACTCACTTTTTCACGTGACGCAGCTTCGGCAGGCGGAAAAGCCGCAGATTCAACAGTTACGCACTGATCGAGATCCTCAATAGACAAAGGGCGAACGTAGAGTTCCATTTTTAAGAGATTGAATTTGAGGGTGAGCGAATCTGATGGAGAGTCTTGGCGTCAGATGAGTAGTCGTCCTTTCAAGTTTCAATTGGAACGGATGAAGCTGTTTTGTAATAATGAAAGGGAGTCAGAACCTAGTTAGCAATAGCACCGTACTACGACCGCCCCAAGGACCCACAGATACCCCGCTCCGTTTACGAGACAGTATTTGGGCACTCCATGTACGGCGGCTTGGCACGAAAGAACCAGGCCAGTTCAAGAAGCTTTGGCTGCTTTCCACAACACGACGTGAAATATTTTCAAATCGCCTCAAGAGGGCCAAAGTCTTGAGCCTTCTCGGCAACCAGGTCGTGCCATTTGATGTTCAAACCAGATTTTGTCTCAAACAATGTCTGGTCAAGCTTTATCGGCAAAAATCAAGCTTGCCTGAGCGGAAGAGTTGCAATGATCGCATAAATGGCAAGTTCCGATCAAAACAAGCAGACGAAGCCGATGCCGACGATGTATAGTCTGTGAAACGAGTTTCAGCAATAATTTCATCTTTAGCTGGACTTAGGATCTTCTACTTCCAGATAAGGATATACTAGTATCATTTCGATCACTGCGTCAATTCTTACATCGTAAACAACATCGCATACCACTTAAATCTCTGTAGTAGCAGTAAATTAATTTTTGGGTCAAGTGAAATATATAGTCTTTGTGCAGACACAGAGGCAAAAAAAGACCCAAGCCTAAGGTGTCGCCAAAGACTCTTAATGATATGCGATCAAACAACAAGATACGTGATTCCTTCCAAGTTGACTCCTAAATACATTGGTGTAGTACCAAGAATAGGATTTTGTTAGAAGTATTGTTTCAAGCCCATCAGTTATTGTTTGTCGTTAACTATCCCGCTGCGTAGTGCAAATGAAAAAGCTAGTAATATATAATTCAGGTTTAACTTTACTTGCAGTAAAACATGCTTGCACACAGAACAGCGTCGAAATTGCAAGTGAGGATGGTGACCTGAGTATTAGTGATTGTTGGAATAAGGCATTCCGAGGCAACAGGAGGATGGGAAGCACAGGCCTGTCAGCCACACCTGGCAAGGTGGGGTCAGCCAGCCACTCAGCCACAACGAGTTGCATGTCCCACTTCACCTTGCCGCTGGCCACGCAGTTAGACACCCAGCAATGTCACCACTTTGACGTGATCGTTGCCACCACTCGTATGAGTATCACCGCCTGTGAAACCAACAGTTATATAGTCGGGAACAGTTTCAGTCCATGTCTATGTAGTCTTTAAAAACACCCTTGACTTAGCAGAAGTCGTAATGAGTCACTGACGCCTATTGGCAATCGTTCTCTAAACTAGACCCTTGGTATAGGCATGTTCAATTGGGGATAACCAGCCACAACGACCAGAGACCTGCAGTAATGTATCCGCGACTCGCTTCAGCAGCAATTTGCTTTTTCATTTAAATGAAAGAGATTGTAGGGTTGCAGCCCTCCTTTACGATTTGCTTGATTAGTATAACACCCATCCCTCTCAACGACGAGACAAGCAAACACTTCATATCTCATTCTTGAAACGGCGCCTCTACATGTTCTAAATCGCACTATGTTATGGCTCTAGATACTCGCGACTGTCGGCGTCGTAACTATTCTGGTCTACCTGGTTGCATTCATTGATTTGGTTCGATTCCACTTCGCACCAGTCTCCCAGGCTCTCGCGGCCTACAAACGCAAAGGACCGAAGCAGACGTTTGTACTCATCACCGGCGCAAGCGCTGGTGTCGGATACGGCATTGCCCAAGCATTGGTTGATCATGGCTTCTGTGTGATTTTGTTGGGTCACCGGGAGGACGAGCTCAAGGAATCAGCGACAGAGCTCGAATTGCTATACGAGGACGCACAAACAAGAACCATTGTCATGGACGCCTGCACTACCACACCAACCGAACTGAAGACAGTGATAGAGAAGTTTTTTGGAAACGAACAGATTTGTATCGCAATTCTAGTGAACAACGTTGGATCAAATCCCATACGACACACCCGCCGTTCCGTGAGCTGGCAACATACGATGGCAAAGATATTGACGCTGTTATTAACACAAACTCACGGTTCATGGCGCACCTAACGTCTGTGATGTTACCAATTCTTAGCCGGAATGATGAAGACATCTTTCCAGCTTCAACCTTCTCCCAACGACGATCATTGTTATTGAACATTAGCTCGGGCGGTATGCTTGGGAGTCCATGGCTGGTTGTGTACAGTGCGACAAAAGCTTTTAACTGGTAGTTCAGCATATCACTTGCTAGGGAACTTGCCGCAGACGAATGTACGAGGCATGTCGACAGCCTGTGTATTGTCCCTGGGGATGTCTTGAGTCAAGGCAACAGTGTATGGGTAACAAAATGGTCGCCTGACTCGGCAAAGTTTGGCCGTCTTTATTGTAGAGAAAGCTGACAAAGCGATTGCAAGAGGATGGAGGGAGATACGACCTTACATGTTACATGACTTACAGCACTATATACTACAGGCTATGCCAGAGAGCAGGAGAGCACACGCCATGACAGATGTCTTGAGGAAGAAGAAGGACGCATTCAACGCCGTTTACAGGAAAGAAATATGATCGAAATAAATTGCAGAAACGTTGAGAGAGAACAAATCTGATCATTACTGCGTGTTTGAATAGTATAGTTTGAACCGCTTCATTTCTTATTGCCTCGTTATTGTTTGTTTTCATTTCGACCAGTAAAATCAGTTGATACAGACGATTTTATCTCATCTTTGCTCTAGCCGATAAATCGTAGTGACATTGGAGTTCTTCTACTAAGTTGCTTCAGAACGATTGTTATCTACATAAGTAGACTCCAGCCCAATTGGTCCCTAACGACGTACAACTTCACAGGGTAATTAATACGGCATCCGCTATCGCTGTCGCTATGGCCTCATTAGACATCGCCCTTCATCAACCGAACGGGCACATGTCTCATCACATATCTAATTCTGTCCGCAACACCAATGATCGGAACAATATACCATGCTATGACGGGAGATATGTAACCACTTCACAAAGTCAAGTAAGGTTTGCTCCCTCCAAAATCAACACTGCGCGCTGCAGTAAAACCCCGATTTTGTTCTTCTGGAATCAAGGCCATGAATGTGAACAGCGCAAATGGACAGGACATCACACATGTGACCAAGAAATATGTCAGCATCAAGAGTGAAAGCCAATTTAATTTTTTTAGCTTTTGAGGTGATTATATGGCTGCGGTATTGGGCGGCGGCGTTGATAAAGCTCCGTGAAACTACCATTGCATGCAAACCATGCTTGTGAATATTGCTGTTCTATTGCCACCAAACACATACAAGGCTAGTTGGATTAATACCTTTGATAAAATAGTGTGTCCATCAAAGCAATCAACATCCACCTATGTATCAATAAGAGCCAGTGTTTCACCACTGGCTTCACTTCCCAAGGTGTCATGAGAGGATACTTTACCCGCGGGCATGGGGGTGGCTCTTTCGCCCAGGCTATCATATTCGATGATCAGGTCAAGTGTTACCTCAATGTTAGCAATCTATAGAGACACTTAATGTAGGACCAGTAGCGTCTTGAATGGGATTTTAATTGTCTTTGACGACAGTTAGTGCCAGGGCGTGGCTGAAATTAGAAAGACAGGGCGACAGTAATACTAAATCTCATGCGCTTCACGACATACTTACAACGGTTACCAAATACATCTATAGGCTAACAGGAGTCAGATCATGAAGCCATGGGATAAATCGAAAGCACGTGAACGGTATTGTGGCCGAAATCTTTTTCCTCAAAGTTATCACCGCTCCATCTCCTATGGTTTTCATAGCGCTAGCATTCAGGGTGGGTAGTACTGCGAGACTCCATTTAGGTTAGATATGTTCTAAGAAAGTCCGTATCTGTCAGTAGCTAGTAAAAATGATAAGTCTGTCATTTTTCACTTAGGCTTTTGTTGACCAGTCGTAGTGAACACTGTAGACTGCCGTTCGCGAGAATAAACAATCTAACTATGTGATTACCTGGAGGCCTTTCTCAGAAGGATGTCGAATCGGTTCACCGGGCTTTCCAAGACTTCTGAAGTCCGTTTTTGATCAGAATTTTGTTACGAAATGTCGATTCTGAAGCAGACGGAAAGTGCTAGCATACGAGCGGGCCCTTAAGATTTGAATAGAAGATCCAATCACCGTCAGCGCTAAAAATGACGCTCTGAAAGAAGACTAGAGGCTGGTGAATGAAAATACCTTCCTAATTTCCTCTATGGCGATGGCGGAGCAACGTAACGGCAGCCCACATTCCGGAATCATAGATGGACATGCAGATTTCCCATCCAAATAGCCAGACTGGCTGTTAAGACAAGTCCCATGTTTCCTCTAGATGCTGATCCCACGAGGAAAGAAAAGAGGTACATTTCGTTGCATGATGCATTTTCCTTCTTGTCAAGAGCTCAAGGCAACTGGTCGCCAGAGGCTTTGAGACGTCGTCGAACACACGAGCAGTTCAAATAGAACGCAAACTCATAGGCGCCGGTGGCGTCTCCCAAAATGCCCATTCCGAAATCTTGATGTAATTATCACCTAAGATATCCTAGCTCAAGGCTCGGGAAAAGCATGCATACGAGCCATTCGGACTCGTTAGGTATAAAAGCATGTATGGCAGGCATGGACACCATTGGGTGATTTGAATCATTACACTGGTGACTAGCAGCTTGGCTTAATTAATATACCTTGGCAACTGCGTAGTTAACACATAATCCCACATATCACGCCTGACTCCGTAGTAACGTGCTTGACCTGTGTTGCCCTCTGCTGTACTATCATGTCCATTCTGGAGCTAAAGAGATATGTTCCGAGCCCTTTAAAATTGTTACGTTACCTCCAAGCCAACAACGCCGTAGAAAAAGCACCAATTGGAGAGCAATTTCTATAGTGGACCTATAGGCACAGCTATTTTCGTTCCATCTAGGTAGACCATGCTGTCATACAGCGTCTTCTTCGTACTTAAGTAGGTGACAGAGCATGTCCACGTACATATTTAGTCCTATAACTAAGCCCTACATTGATCTTTGCAGTATATAAAGACAAGCCGGAGGTATTCCTTCCGCTGGATTGAGATTTAGATTAATAGCTTTTTCGCTCATAGATTGGGTGATTTGTGGTCAGTCACGAGGCGAATGATAGATGAATGTGTCGCCCCAGCCAACAACTCCAGCTCAAGTAGAAGGCCGTGGCAGCGTAAGCCACTCAACGAACATGTCGACCTATATAAAGGTTGGTTTGATCTTAGCCTGGAGTCCAGGGGAAGCTCTGCATTTCTTTTTCGGATTATCCTGTCACACAGGTTGGTAAGGAAATGATTTAGTTTGCGGTGTCAAGGACCACTTTTGTTGCCACAATGAAGTTTTCCGCCGCCCTCACCGTTCTGGCGATACCTCTTGCACAATGCCATTACATCTTCAGTCAACTCATTGTCAACGGGAATGCTGTTGGTGGTGATTATACCTATATGCGCAAGAACAGTAACTCCTATAACCCTTCATTCACCGATGAGATTGTAAACTCTCCGGAGTTACGTTGCAACAAAGGTGCCACTACAGGAACTGCTCAGACCTACACTGTAGCTGCTGGCAGCAACATCGGCTTCAAACTCTGGTACAACGAGTTTATTGAGCACCCTGGCCCGGGTTTTGTTTACATGTCTAAGGTTTCTGGTTCTCTGAACGGCTACGACGGGTCCGGTGACTGGTTCAAAGTTTACGAAACGGGGCTCTGCGGCGGTCAACCAAATGCTGATGCCAGCTGGTGCACCTGGCAAAAGACCGCATTGAGTTCACCATTCCCAATCGTATCCCACCAGGCGACTACCTCGTTCGCGTCGAGCATATTGGTCTTCACGAAGCTCATGTGGGAAAGGCCCAATTCCATATGGAATGCGCACATCTCAAGATCACTGGGAGTGGAGGCGGCGCTCCAGGTCCCCTAGTCAAGATCCCCGGAATTTACAAGGCTACCGATCCCGGCATTGCGTACAACAAGTGGACGAACAGCCCTGCCCAGTATGTCATGCCTGGTCCTCAGGTCTGGGTTGACAACGGCTCATCGAGCCCGCCTCCGAGCGCTCCTCCTCCGTCTTCAGGTGGCAGCGGTGCCCCTCTGTACGGCCAGTGCGGTGGTCAAGGATGGACTGGGCCCACGACATGTGCTCAGGTAACTTGCAAAGTTACAAATGAGTGGTACAGCCAATGCGTTTGATGGAGATTACAGGTCAGATTGTAGTTTTGAACAGCACCTCTGGCGGGTGTAATAGACGAAACCAAGTTGTTCTTGAAGCCGCTTTAGGTCAGAAAGCAAAGACAACCCAACTCAACCCCTTTCCGCCTTTTGTACATAAGTTTTGTCTACTGTTAACGCATTCAAATTCAATTCTGATCCCTATCAATAACACAGTAACCCAAATGCTTGTGAATTATGACACAACCAAGCGACGGCACTCACTATGGGCTCACTGCGTCCAGGAGGATCGTTATGCCTGTGCCCTGGCTTTAATCAACTCCCTAACGCCCAGTAGTAGGATTTGATCACTTTTCGGAAAAAGCTATCAACTATTCACTTTTTCTTTTAATCTGTTATTCCACTATCTGAGTTATGGTTCATCAAATGGCTTCCGTGACCTATTTTGGTTCCATCAACTTTACTTTTGTGAACGCCCTTGATCAATTACTCACATGCCGCTTCCAATCCTAGTCAGCGCAAGCGCAATTTCTGCTTGAAAGCAAGCGACATCCCTCAGGGAGCTACGGGAGAAATTCAGGTGCCGACGGCCCTATTTAGAAATTCGAGGAACCCGATGGCTCTTCATTCGGAGGAAATTGTTACCTTAGCTCGGTCTCTAGTTAGATATGATTGAAAGGCTAGTTAACGTAGCCAAACTGCAAAACACATGCTTTCAAACTATTTGTCATTTCTTATGTATTTGGACTAAGCAGGACGTTTTCCGCAAGCGCCATCAAGTTCACACACGCGCATGTCGACCTCAGTTCGATCAACGACATTCCAAAAAAAAAAGTCAGTATCCTGTCCTGTACCCGAGCGTCTTATTCGCCTTGTTGGCGCTAACAGCGGCGCTTTGAACACAAATTGGTCTGGGCCCAGCGATGATGGCGTTGACAGAAATATGTAGGCTTCGGCAATTGAGAAGAGAGTTGGCAGCGGATGGTCCACCTTTGTCCTGCTAGTCTGTGCCGTCTCTCTTACTCAAAACTCGTCTACTCATAGGACTACACGTAGACACCAAAGACTAAACAACAACATACTGTTTGTATGGGTATGGAAAATGGCAGGGCAAAGACTTTACGCAACCGACGTACCTCACTCAGATCTTGACTCTGCTTCAATCCATGGGGCCCATAGAAAACACCTGAAAGTGCCCCTTTTTGTAGCATCATCCAGACTTGAGGCTCGGACCCAAGCATGTCTCCTGGTGTCATCTTAGCGTAGTGGGTGTCATCTGTTGGCGCGTTCATAAACGGCACATCGTTAATTGCCTAGCCAAACTCGTCGGAAGGAATCTAGTGGCGCGCCTCCACCACCGCACCATCCCCACACGCTACTTCCAGTATCCCGCTACTGAATCGCTTTTCACCCTTGAGACAGTTTACTTGAGATTACTGAGACCTACCAGACATCTATGCTCCTCACCACTTATCTGGCTTGTTACATGCGGCAAGGCCAGGAGATCTATCTATTCAAGCTTTCTTTCAAGCCTTGTGCAATGTTAAAGTGTGGCAACTTACAAGGCCTAGGCCTATGGTTAGACGAAATCCTTTGCGACTCTATTTTGGACAGACAGCCTAGTAATGCACCTAACTTGATGGTGCAACAGCTTTTCATTTCCATTTTCGCTACATTACTGAACCAGTCGACGAAATCAAGAGGGTCTGTGAGGCAAATCTCGGACCAACCTTCACACCCGGCGCTCAGCAACATCAGCTATATAAGATGTGAATTCTCTTGACCCAATATGTCCTTCTTTTTTTAATTTCTATTTACCATTCCATCCTAACTCCTATTCAGTCTTTATCACCTTGAAGCAAGTCTTCCCTTCCGTTCATTCTTGAGAACAAGTTCTCCCTTCTTCCAACTTCCTTAAGACCTTTTCCTACCTTTCAATATCCCATCCGACCAGCATCAGGTCAATTTTAAAGATGAAGGGATCCGTTTTCACTATCTATTTTACCGCCTTCTCGGCTGGTATTCTCGCTCACAAAGGGGAGTACGACACTCCTAACAAAGCCCCTTCTGGCGGCCTCCCTGGCGGAGGCGGTGATGACGGTGGCATTGGCGGTATACTACCCACTGGACTCCTCAAAGGTGCCAACAATGGCGGTGAGATCGGCGATATCCTCCCAACAGGACTTCTGGGCGGCGGTAACAAAGACAACGCCAGCCCTACTCAGGCCTACGGTGGCGGTGGTAGCAATAAGGGCAACGTGCTTCCCACTGGGCTCCCCGGCGGCGGGCTTGGCGATGTCCTTCCCACTGGACTTCTTGGCGGCGGTGGCCAGGGAAACGCACTCCCCACTGGACTACCGGGTGGTGGAATCGGAGGTGGCATCGGCGACATCCTCCCAACGGGACTCCTGGGCGGCGGCAATAAGGGAAACGTAAACCCTACCCAGGCCTACGGTGGCAATAGTGGCAACAAGGGCAACGTACTTCCTACTGGGCTTCCCGGTGGTGGAATCGGCGACATCCTCCCAACGGGACTCCTGGGCGGCGGCAACAAGGGAAACGTAAACCCTATCCAGGCCTATGGTGGTGGCAAGGGCGGTAACGTCGACGGTGTTCTTCCAACCGGACTCCCTGTCATCGGCGGTGGGAACAGTCCCTCTGGTTTCCAGACCCGCGTCCGCGTCACCAGCTCCCGCGGCAGCCATGTACATGGCCACGACTCTGCCGCCCCTACTAAGGCTTACTAAAAAAGCCATAGAATGCTCATAAGGCTTAACGAACTTTTCTTTGTGCTTGCATACGGCACTTATCAAGGAAGTCTCACGCTATCACTGAAGAGCAGGGAACGTGTCGGGGAAGACAAGGCGATATTTTCATTGGATTTCAACGACGACTAGAGCACTCTATTATTCGTCATTTGATTGGGCATACATCGATAGTCTTGTGGCAGGATTCGTAAGGTTACCCGAGACTCATCCATTTCTACTATCAATTTCTCTCAACCTAATTATTGCACTACCCACCAGCTCGTACTAAGACTTCGGAAGTGACAGTGCTCCTGCACCCAAATGTTTGGTGTATAAAATATCCGTCGTTCGTGACACCTCTTGCATGTGCTAAACAACTGAAAAGGCAGTCTATTAAGTGTTAAACATGGAAGACGGAATTGGTTGTTGCAACTCGCGACGCGACTGAGAGCACGAAAACCCCCGAGTTCTGGATCTGCTAACCGTTGAACGTTTATATCTTGTTTACTAAGCAAGTATAGATTCTTTGATAACTTTCGATATGAATCACCCAACCTCATTCAAAGTTCCTTAACATTTCTGAGATTCTCGCCTCATTTATAGCTAATCAGGTTATTCTTCTGAGATACAATTAAGACCTCATGGTTAAAAGAATTCGTGTAGCGGCAACTGAGGCACCTGATACCATCCGAAGCTTCGGTCTCAATGACCAAGAAATGAAAGACATGTATGTAAGGAGTTCAATGTTAGTATAAGTGCTATATGCTGTCATTGTCATTTATAGTATGATAACTATTCATTGCGAAGGCCTTGAAGCGCGATATGTGAAAACTGAGTAGCACAACAGTGGTTTGTCGTCAGTCGCTCATTCACCATGGCTAGGTTAACAGTGTTTATGGTTTATTGGTATAACAAACCTTGGCTTGAGTTAAGTAGCTCTAACTTCCTCTTAGCACATTACTTTTCTATTTTACCATCCATCGCTACTCTGACGTGGCCCTCTGCTAAGTAGAATGCTGTTGTTAATGCACAAAGAGCAGAAGCCAAGTCTAACTTTGTAGCTAGGACTTTGCTTGGCTTGGTAGAGCCGCTAACAAGTAGCATGGCGACGACAGCCTTTCGACAGTCGAAGAAAACGACCTGGCTGTGGAGGGCTTGTGGATGCTGCAAGATGCGACGCAGCAAGTCACGGTGTATCCCGACAGCCATCCGTCGCGGCGTATATTGCCAGTCACTTAAGTCAAGTCACCCACTTCTGGCACCCCACCCATGTGGGCACCCACAAAACGAAGCTATCGCAACAACACTACCCTTTTTAATTGACTATCGCTGAGTCCCAGATGTAACTATGATACAGCTTTTTGCCTTACTAGGGCAATTAGATGCACTGGATTCATCTGTGTTAATTTCAGCATTGCTAGCCTTGATCTAGGCTTGCTATATATTATTAATATTAGTGAACTTAGGGTTAAGGTTAGTTTTAATAGTCTTTTTTTTTTGCTGTAGTATTATTAACTTAGGCTTAGAGAAGCTATATCTAGTGGTGGGTAGTAGTTAGCTAGAAGGACTACTCTTAGAAGCCTTTTTTGACTTTTTTTTAAAGAGTTAACGTTATATATTAATACTTTAATTTAGCTTATTAAATAAGTTTAGTTAACTATTAAGGTCCTTTATTTTCTTAAGTATAAACTATATAATAGTAAATATAATAAATATTTATTTTTTTATATTTTAGGTAATTTAAATACTTTAAGTATTTTAAGTAGCCTTATTAAGTAGTATTACTAGTGTTATTACTTTAAATAATAATAAAAAGCTTATAAGAAGTTTATTTATAGTAATAAGCTATAGTTTAGTATATTTCTAGTTACTTAGAATTTTTCTTTTATTAGTTTAGCTAAATATATTAGCTAATAATAAAATAAGAAGTATTTTTTGTTTATTATAGTTAAATTATTTTATTAGCTAAGGTTAAGCTAAAGCTTTTTATAATAAGTTATTTTAATTAAGCTAAAGACTAACTAATTTAATAGCTAAAAGATATAAAAGGTATATTATTACACTTTAGTACAGATAAGATAAGTATAAAGATTAATAATTCCTATTTTACTTAGCTAGCTAGAAATTAGTAATGAAATACTAAGGGGTTCCTGTCTAGAGCCGTCTAAAGCGTAGGGAAATCACTAGGAATGCACTAGGGATTTCCTAGTGGATTCCCTGTAGTTACAAAAGTAGGTCCCACTAGGAATTCATAGTAAATTCCTAGTAAATATACTACTACTGCATAGGTAGACCTACTACTACAGCGTAGTAGATCTATTATGATTTCCTAGGGATTTCCTAAGGTTGTTTTTATTTGTGTAAAGAAACTTTTCTCTATAGATTTATTGCTTTTACTTATAACTATTATATAATAATTACTTATATAAAAGATGTTCTTATTTTAAGGACTTTTTTATTAATTAATAATAATATATATAAAGTAAATAACTATAAAGACTTAAAATAATTATAAAGTAATAAAAAAATAAAATATAATTAATTAAACTAAATATAATTATAATTTTTAGTAGAAAATTATTTATTATTATAATATAACTAAAAATTCTTATATTATTATTTATATATTTATATAAATATATTAATTATAAAGTATTATAAAACTATTATTATAAGTATATATAATATTTTATAAATTACTTAATTAGTTTATTTAATATCTAGACTTTTTTTATAGTTATTTAGTTATTTTTTTAAGTTACTAATAATCTTATTATAGTTAATAAGCTTATTTATAAGGTTTATATTAATATCCTTTAATTACTTAAATTAATCCTTAGTTATTTCTAGTTCTTTAAGCTACTCTTCTAATACCTTAGTATATTCTTTTTAGCTATAACTTAGTTACTTAGTATATTATAATAATTCCCTTATCATAAATATAAAAAGTATATATACTAATATAAAATATAACTTTAATAAAGGTTATCTTTTAGTATTACTTAATAAGCTTTACTTATTAATTATTATTTACTATAAAAGCTATATAACTATTAGTAATTATTATAGTTATAGTAAAGATAAAAAGCTAAAGCTAAATTACTTAGAATAAGTTATAAAGAGATAATTAATTATAGTTAATATGTTTTATAAAATACTTATTAATAAAATTTATTATTACTAATATAAGGTATAAGTAAAGAATAGTAAAGTAGTTATTTTAATATTAGTTAATATATAAATTAACTTTTTTTTAAGTAATAATATATAAAAGATTTATTATAAGTTAATTAATAAAGTCTTTAATAATAATATTATTAAATATTATTTTTATATTTAAAGTAAGCTTATTTTTAGTAATAGCTAGTTATTTGAAGATTAACTATATAATTAGTAAAAGGTTTATTTCAGAGTTTATTTTTTTATAGTATAAAGTATTAGTATAAATTAATAAGAAAACCTTACCTTATTCTTTACTTTTAATTATTACTTAAGCCTAAGCTTAAAGGTTATCTTTTATAGTTAAGTCCTTATTAGTTACTTTAGTAGCTAAGGACTTAAAGATAATTAATATTTATAGTGTAAATACTTAAAGAGCTTATATAAGAGTAATAGTCTATTAATTATTAGTTTTATTATTCTTTTATTTAATTAAAGCTTTATAAAAGCTTTTAATAGTATTAATTATATTATTTATTTACTTTTTAATTAAGTTACTATTAAGAATAATTAGGGTCTTAGTAGTCTTTTTTATCTATTAAGCTATTATTAAGAAATTATAACTAAGAGTCTTATTAAACTTATTCAAAAGCGTATAATATTATTAATTACTTATAGTTTTTTAAGAGAGCTTTAAATCATTATTAAAAAAGTTTTAAATACTAAAGTTATTTATAATAGTTTTATTAGTATTTATTAATATAATAATAAGAACCTAAGTAAAAAATAATTAAGTCTAATTATATTAAAAGCTAAGAGTATTAAATTATTTAGTAAAAGGTAATTAAATATTTACTTTAAAGACTTATTTAGCTTTTACTTAGTTATTAGTAAAAGTAACTAAATAATTAGTATAAAAAATAATATAATTAAAAAGTTAACCTTAATATTATTTAGGCTAAGGTTATAAGTTTATTTATAGTAAAAAGTAAAAAATATAGAATTATTAGTATAAAACTTCTTAAAAGTAGTAGTATAACTCTTAGTTTTATTAATTAGTTAAGATTTTTTATTATAAAGTATAATTATATAAAGATATCTTTTAAAAAGAAATAAAGTATTATCTTAAGACTTAGTAAAATAGGTATAGAAGTTATACTTATAATAAAAGTTATAAGATAGATTTTTGTTAGTTAATTAAGGGATAAAAAAGAATCTTATAATATAGAATTAATAAGGGATTAAGATATAAGCCTTTAGGTATATAAGGGTTAATATATATATTATACTAAATAGTTATTAAAAAATAAGGGAATTATAAAAAAAATAATATAAATAAATAAAAAGTAAATAATTTTTATTTATTTAGTAAAAATAAAAAGAATAAGTAATAAGTTATACTAAGTTATTTATAATATCTTAGGTAATATTTAATAGCATATTTACTTATCCTAGTTTATTAATAATATATTTATTATAAATAGTATAGTTATATTATCTAATTATTTAGTTACTTAATGGTTTTTTTACTAAGATTTCTTAAAGGCTATTAGTTTAAATTTAACTTATAAATAATACTTTATTAGTTTTTTTTTAGCTATTATTTAATAATAATCTTTTTTAATAATAACTATTATAATTTAGTAATTTAAGGCTAAACCTTAAATGCTTTTTTAGGATTTTATAGTATATATTAATATATTAATAATACTTTTTTTATTTAAATCTTTACTTATTTATTTATTATTTCCTAATAATTTCTCTTAAACTCTTAAATAAGTTTATTAGCTTCTATTATATTAGTATTTATCTAAGCGTTATAGATACTAAGATATCTTTTT